ACAGGTAGTCTGAGGTGAGCAGTCGTCCAAGAGGAATTTATACAAGTCATTGCTACTTTCTCTGTCTGTGCTGAGCTTCTTGCTGGACACTGGGGACATGATGTCCAGTAAGACATGATGTGTGTCTCCAAGGAGTGTCCAGTCTATGGGAAAGAGAGCCTTGTAAATGCAGAGCACAAAATGCTGAGGAAGCATAAAGGAGCACACAGCTGTGCAGGGACAGCATGGAACGGGTAAGGGCCAGGGAAAGCTCTGATAGAGATGCTTCAGTGGACCTTTGAGAGACAAATCAGAATTAACTTGAAGGTGGAACAGGCATTCAAAGCTTGCAAATTCTACGCAAAGATCAGAGTCAAGGGAAGGAGAACAGTATATTCAGGAAACTGCCAATCATCCAGACTGATGGGAGCTAAAGGAGTGGGTGGGGCCTACCAAGAGATGAGCCTGGAGAAGTCACCAGAGACTAGTTCTGAAAGCTCTTGTGAGCTGATCCAAAGGGACTTTGTTCTGAAAGCTCTGGACAGCTTGGGAAGATTCATAAGTGATATGAACTGATTTTTCTTGCGGCTCTTCCAGTACCTGAGGCCCAGAGAGCTCAGAAGTAGCCTTGTGAATGTGAGGGATGAGACTGCTCAGTGGACGTTACAAATGATATCATTAAGTCTGAGCATGGCCTCCTATTCCTGGCTTGGTTCCTGATGCAGCGACCTGCAAGTCATCTCTTGCCTTTTCGTGCACAAGTCTCCTTTATCAGAATAGGGTAAAAATGCTGCTGTCAATCTGCCACATTAAGAGAACTGCCAAGACCAAAATGCTCCATGCAGGATGAAAACACAGCACAAAAAGTCCTCCTTTAGGTAGAATATGATGTCTTTAGAAATAAAGTTTGGATGAATCAAAAATACATAACAAGTGCATTTTGTTCTTAAGGTGTTGGCAGGAAAATTGGCACACCTGTTTCTCAGAGCAAGGGCTGGTTCAAGACACTCATGGCTTCTAAAGGTTTGAGTTGGTTGCTTGAAGTTAGGGTGAGAGGTGACTGGGAGGCTGCCCTCTTTTCTGAGCTGGAAGTGGGGCAAGGCAGGGGACACAAGGGGAGCAGTGGCACATCCCACCAATCAGCAGGTTCCTGTGACCTCACTGGGTTGTAAGAAGGACTGATACAATCCAGGTAAAGGGCTCAGCATCATGCCTGGCACATGGTAGGTAAGCCACCAGCAATAGATGTTAATGGTATTGTTAACATGTATATATTTTGAGACCAACTGTGAATCCATAGCACGTCCTGTCTCTTGCATGGAACACACATTCTTTGAGACTTTTAATAAGTCTTTGATTCCTTATTAAGTCATAGGTGCTTCAGGGCAGGTACCACGGTCAAGCAAGATCTGCATTCCCCACAGCATCTGATAGTGTTCTCTAACCCTCCCTGCCCCTCTTCTAAGACAGCTCTGGTCTTGCGATTAGTATTCACGTCAGTGTCTTGCCTTGCTGAACTCTGAGCTCCTCAGTGGCTGAAATGAACCTTTAAGCATACTTAGCTTGGCCCCACTTGAAGGCCTCAGCAATTGGTGATCTCTACCTGGTACTTTCCACAGGTCAAGCAGCAGCTGTCACCTCTGCAGAGATGGTATTCCTGACCATTAAGTTATTGCCTCCACTCTTATGTTTTATCACATTTTCAAAATTTCACAGCACTACCAGTATTTGAAATAATCTTACTGCTTTTTTCATTTGTCTTCTCCACAATAATATAAGCTCCATGAGAATAGAGGCCTTATTCGTCCCCTTCATTGCTGTATTCCCCAGTTTCCTATAACTGTGTTTGGGATATAATAGGTGTTCCATAACTACTAATGAATGCTGAATCAATTCTAAGTCAAATGACAGGTGGACTGAGCATCTGTACCTCTTCTCCAAGACTGAAGGTCAGTGTTGCCGAGAATGCAAAAAACCGAGCCTGTGGCTCTTGCTTCCCTGCTGCTTGAGGAGGAAAGCACCCACTCAGAGCGAGACGAGACAAACTCTGCCCAGGCGCTGGACTGAGGCAGAGTCACAGGCAAGACGCAGCTGGGGGCCGGAACACAGCCTGAGTGGAGGGATCACCGTGCTCACCCTCCGGTGTCAGCACCTACGTTGGAGGTTGTAGAGGATGTCCTCTGGAACGACTGCTGAATTGCACTGAGCAGACAGCCCACCACAGAAGCGCAGGAGATTTAGCTGAGATACAGAGAATGCTTGTTTACCTTGCTGTCTTGATTAGCAAATATTCCTACTCAGTAAATTTTTCATTTATTGTGTCAAGAGAATCTCTTAAGTGCAAACTATTTAAATATAAGGCATATACATGAACAAGATAATGTTTTGGCTAAACTCCATGTCATTTATTTATTCAACAAAAATCTGAGTATCTTCAATGTTCCAAGCCATGTCCTTGGTGCTGGAAATGGAGATTAAACCCCTGGCCCTCAAGGAGCTCACAGTCTAGGGGGGAAAAGACACATACATAAATAAATATAACATAGGGTACGCCAAGGGGACCATTATAGGAGGCAAAGAGCCGAAGAAGCTGATTCTATGGTTAATATTCACAGGAAAGAGAGACCTGGCTAATGTGGATTTTTTGTGAAGAACAGATAATAAGGCAGTGGTTCTCAACGTGTAACTGGCTAATTATCTTCATCAGAATCATCTGGAGCAATATTAAAATGGAGATTCCCAGCACTTCAGCAGGTTAGAGTTTGGGACCTGGGAGTCTACATTCTAAAGTGCTCTAGGTAATTCCAATGCAACTTAAAGTTTGAGAACCTGTGAGATAAGGCTTGCTCTTAAAACTGGAATAAAGAATGATCTGCACATCTGATATACTAATTTGTGTGGGTCTTTAGCGAGAGGTGAAATAGGGAAGAAGGGAATTGACATTTATTAAGCTCTACTATAATCTTTATACACATTAATGTAATTCTCACAATGATCCCATGAGGTAGATACTATTATTCTCATTATACAGATGGAGAAACAGAATTAGAGAGTTTAAATAATTTGTTCAACATTTAGAGCTAATAAATCCCAACACTGAACCCAGATTCACTTAACTCTAAAGCCTGTCCACGTTCTATAACACCACACTATACTAGGGGACTGATTAATTTGACAATTTTCTTGTCATTCTTTGCCAGATCTTGCTAGGTAAATATAAAGAAAGAGATGGTACTTTGATCACATCTGATGTAACTGGCCATGGACAGGCCCTTCTCTGGCGACTGGTGACTTAGGGCAAAGCTGGGAGGAACATAAAATGAGCAGTCAGTTCTGACTTATTTCTTCTTCATTTTCTCATCCTCTGGTAGAGATGTTATGAAAGGTACTAAGGCTAAAGACTGGGGCCATCTGGAGGGGAAAAGGAAACATATCTATGAAAGTAATTCCACTGAACATCAAACATTCTTGGGACTCAAAACATTGAGACTCATTTCTTTAAAAAAAAAAAGAAAGAAAGAAAGAAAGAAATGTCAGCAAAAGAGGCCTGAATCTGCATTAGGAAATAGCTTAACCTTTAGAGAGATTGTGAAAGACCAGTAATTTTTCCAGGTTAAACAAACGCTGTCTCTTTCTACATACAGATTCAGAAGTACAACAAAAGAAACCCAGCTCAGAAAATAATGGGAAGTCCAATCCCATTTAAAGGACTTGGGAACAAGCTCAACCTATAAAAAGTCTCCAGTAATAAATGAAACACACATAAACTGCAAATCCTGGTTATAGTCCCACACACCATACTCAGCGTTGTTAGCCAGACCATAGGCAGGAGCAGCAAAGTGGAACATGTTAGATGAAGAAAAGGAAAGACATTATAATAAAGGTGGCTGACAATAAGAGTAGGGTAGGGGGGTGCTCTGAGGCCTCGCGTTCAGAAGGCTGGTGTGTTACTGCCACCCTCTTCTATCACTGAGCTTGGAGCCACAACAGGGATGCTGTAAGCCAAACCTGAGCTTCTAGTGTTGGAGAGCTTCTTTTTTTTTTTTTCTGTTATTTTAAGCAACTGGCTGAGTCCCATGATGAGTTTTGATGAGATCAGCCCACAGTACAGACACAATGGATAGCACACAGCTTAGATTTCACTATTTAGTGTAACAAAGATTATAAGCCAGACTTTATTTTATTGCTACATTTCCCCCGACACACAATAGGGTACATTTGCTTCCTTTTCTATTAATATAACACTGGCATGGTTTTAGAGTTGTTTAAAAGACAAAAAGCAAATCTGGATCGATCCTCTCTTTACAAAATAGTTGATTTATTTATACTGCACCAATTCAGCCCCTCCAAATACACAGCTTCCAACAGGCGGAACAGTTAAGAGAAGCAGGTGTCACAAATTATGGTTTAAAAATATGCAGGCAGCAGGCACTGTACCTGTGTGTTTAATATACCTGAAAACTGCTGATACTCCAAACCAGCTATACCTCCAGCAATTCTGGGAGCATCTACATAGACTCTTAATCCTGATGGCAATATGTGGTCGTTCGAGGGTCTAACTGGGTTATGCCTTTAGTCGGCCAAGTGGGAAGAGTATGCAAAGACCACGTCTGACTACAGCAGGTCTTCAAGCTTATTATCCTGTCACAGTTTATAAAGGTGAGGAACTAATTATTAGAGCTGTGCAGTCAAAATGGCCAGAGAACAAATACACTCCTACAGTGCATAAAATTAAGTCAACCATCGTGTGGATCCCTGATTGTCTCTGGATGTGACCTCAAACACTTGAAAAGGAAACTTCAAGTATGTCGGGAGATAAGTTATCAGAATGTTTGGGTATTTTTGTTCCTGAATATCAAGTAACAGGGCTCACCTCCACGTTACTTCTTGCAAATAAGCGCACAGGGCGACTCCTTAGAGACGGCTCATTATAGACACTGAGCCTCCGAGAGTTCAAGGGGTGGGTAGACTCAGGACTATCCAGGGCTGAGCAGAAAACTCTGTAAGCCAACCTGACATCCCTAAGTCTTATCCTGGCTCTGAGAACATCTCAGTTCAGCTCCAAGTCCGCTTTGCTCCAGCTCCGCAATGACAGACATATACTTGAACTCACTCGGTCTGAAGTTAAAGGTCTCCACTAGCCCGTAGGTCTCTTTTCGATCCGTGGCATAGAAGAGCTGAACTTGGTTGGCCATGCACTGTGCCTCAGCAACATTCTGAAAGGTAGAAATAACAGTGAGTCCCTTCCAGCACAGGGCCACACAGCTCTGTGTCTAAGGCCTGTGGCAGGTCGGGGCTCTTGCCCATGAGTCACTGCTTCCAGAAAGCTTCCTGACTCCCTGACATCCCAAGTCTTGGTGAGGGGTGCCCCTTTTCTGTGTACCCAAATTAGTCTACTCTTCTTCTAGCATTGCATGTATCAGACAATATTGTATCTGTCCTTTGTTTCCTCTTTTTCTTTTTTGTCTGTCTACCCTTATGAGAATTCCTCACAGTACGAACCTGTTTTACATCCCTGCATATAGTGAAATCTGGTGAATGCTTGCTGATAAATTAATGCATATGTTGAAAATTTCCCTCTTAAAAAAAATTCCATTTTCATTCAGTTCCTTAGTAACTGTTAAGTATATCTCAAGGGGAAAAAAAAGAGCAAGTTAACCAGCTCTCCAGCTCTAAGAACTGTTTGTGAGCTGGTACTAAGGTTTTGACTAACCTATTCCTCATACCACCTCAGTCAAAAAAGTGGTGCCAAAGCCAGCTGTAGTTTAAGAAATTGTTCACAAAGTCTATGACATCCTTTTTTTTTTTCTCTTGGGCCACACAACTTGTGGGATCAGTTCCCCAACCAGGGAATGAACCCAAGCCATCAGCAGTGAAAGCATGAAGTCCTAACCACTGGACCACCAAGGAATTCCCTATGACACTTTTTCTCCCTGTGATAGAGCCTTGTTTCTCTTTCCGTGAGTGATGGTTGTACTTAGTGACTTGCTTTCTAACAAACGGACTAAAGTGGAATGATGAAAAAGGACTTTTGGCATTCAGTCACAGAAGACATCATGGTTTCCATCTTGCTATCTCAAATCACTTGCTTTGGGGAAAATCAGTTTCCATGTCATGAGGACATTCAAGTAACCTATGGAGAAGCCAACATGGCAAGGAAATGAGGCCTCCTGCCAATAGCCATGCAAGTGGGGTCAGAGGTGGATCGTCAAGCCCAATCAACCTTCAAATGACAGTAGCCCTTTCCAATATCCTGACAGCAACATCATGAGACTCTGAGCCAGAACCACCCAGCTACGCTGTGCCTGAACTCCTGACACAAAGAAACTGTGAGGTAATCAATATTTATTTTTTTATGTCACAAAGTTTTGGACTAGTAATTTGCTATGCAGTCATTTCTAACTAATCCACAGCAAAGCCCCAGGAAAGAGAAGAGGCCACCTTCTCTAAAGCTCAGGAGCAGGAAAATGGTGACCTGACCACTGTAACACAAGCGGGATCCAAATACAGGCTACACTCTTGAAATCTTACAGAAGAATTACCTCAAAAACTCTTACTTTGCTTCCTATACATTCTCTAGTGCTAGCTGATCAGAGGCATTTATTCATCATTATAATGTTCACACAGCCAAAATCCAACCCCAAATGATAATGGAAAATTCCTACTAAAACTGTCAAAAGTGTGCTATGTCTAGCTACAGAGTGATGAAAATGGGTTTATAAATACCACAGGCTGCTTCACCTCCATTCCCTCCCGTGGGGTGCAGGTCATTTCTCATAAGCAGGCACTGATCTCTGAGACTGGATCTTCAATCAAAAGCCATTTTCCAAATCGCTGGCTATTTCAGATTAATAGCATTTTAGACCAGGAAGGGGCCTTAGAGATCATCCAGTCCTCATTTAATGGACCAGGAAACCAAAGCAGATGAGGGTCAAGGATGGACTCAAGGTCATGCGGCATGCAAGTGGCAGAGCAAGGACTAGATCTCTGGACTCCCAGGCTGGTACTCCCTCCACGTCACCCTGATACTATTTCTGGTGGGGCAAAATAATTAAGGTTGATAACTCTACCTCATCATTTTTACCTTTTAAATTCAAACATGTCTCAAGGACAGACCATTTTTTAAGCAAGTGCATAATCTGAGGCAGATGTCACCACTCTCTGAGGCCCTGAACTGTAGGGACTGTGACAGTTAACTTTTATTTGAGGCTTAGGATGGTGGAGGTAAGGGTAATTTCAGCTGTGTTCATTCTAGAACAGTGCTGTTCAAGCTGCAGAGTCCTAGGGCCTCTGTGGAGGTGCCTCAGTCCCTTCACCTCTCTTTCAGCTGTTATATCCTGGGATTTTACATAATAAGATTTTATGTGGATAAAGGACTCTGACCACTTGTTTGAAGACCACTAGAATGATGGGAAGAGAGTTAAGACATGGAGAAATGTCTCTCATGGAGGATTATGGAAAGCTCCCCTGCACCCCAGCCGCTGCTGACTCGTTCGCCCCTTGTCTTTTATTCCCTTAATTCTAGACATGAAAAAGTAGTCTCTTCCAAGACCCAAGAAGATAAACATATTAATTCCCTATGCTGCTCAACAAGGAGGTATATTAACAGACCTGATTCCTCCCTCTCTTTCAATCCTAATAGCTACAAAGTACCAAGTCTTGCCCATTTTATTCCCTATATATTTCTGAGGTCATTCTCTTTCTTCCTTCCCTACTCTCCTAAGGTCTTTACCACCTCTTGCCCAGACTACTGCAACTGCATTTTAAATGATCACACTGACCAGGCTAGAACTAAAAAATGTTTAGGAAGCAAATACTTAAGGTTAATGGTCTCAAAATCCAACTCTCTATGGGTCAACTCCTCATCTTTCTGTGCTCACAGGATAAAGTCAATCCTCTGAACACAATCCACCAAATTTCCTTTTTTAATATATCAGTGATAGCAAACTGTAATACCCCAAGTCATTTTATGCTTCCTAGCATTTCCGTATCCCATTCCCACTGTCTGGGACATTCCCCTCCCCCTTTGCCCTCCCCACTTTATACTGCTAAACTCCTGCTAATCTTTGAGGTTCAGTTCAGGTGTCATTTCTTCCTTCTTCTGCGTCAGGAACACTCCCCCTGACCCCTCCAAAGCTGTGCATGTCTTTCTCCTAGCATTTACTACATTCCAATGAAATCATCTGCTGACACACACACATGTGGAACCAAATAAGGTTTTTAAATGCTATACTAAATTTTCATCATCAAAACTAATCAGTTTAGAAGAAACCTATAGATTCCATGTATTTCTATCTATTTGCTTTACTGTATTTGGAAACATAATACCTAAAATATAAATGTATGCATGAGTATGCAGGGGATCATATATTTATATTACATTTCTAGGTTTCCCATCTCTGAATCATGTATTTCTACACTAAATTTTAACATGTCTAATTCTGTACTACACTAGAAACTCAGAGGTTGATTTATACAAGGCAAATGTATGTTGTCTGGTATGCTATTGAATGTTCTAAGACTAGGAAGCAAATTTTACTAAATATGGGAACCATGGTTAGATGTTATGCTTTGTTGAAGATCAGAAAATCCAAAACCATCTCTGTGTCACTCACTCCTGTCTGTGGTCAAGTTTTAAATTTTATCATTATTGGTAACTACCTCCCCTCCAAGTCTCAGTTTTAAAATTCACACTGTCTATTTCCCATATTTAACACTCACTCCCAACTTCAAAAATCCTTCAACTACACAAGACTGTAAAATAAGTATACTTCAATAAATTAAAAAAAGAGAACAGATCACAACTAAATACAGCAATAAAAATTCTGCAAGCCAAAAAAACCCACAAAAAATCTTTTACCTCAAGCAGCACTCACAGTTCCTACTGTCTCTTCATCTTTCTTATGTTTCCACTTCTCTCTTTACCCAGCTTGCACTCCATTGTCAATAATTACAGTCATTTCTTTGCATTCACCTTTAACTTCCCGGTCCCTGTCTTACTTCATTACATCACTTGGCTAAACCATAACCCTAGGTAAATCCAACTCTCAGTCCTTTATCTCTGTGCTTGTCATTCCCACACAGCCATTCTCTCTTCCTTTTTCCTAGATCACAGGTCGGCAAGCACCTTCTGGAAAGGGAGAGACCATTAATATTTTAGGTTTTACGGCCCTACAGTCTCTTGTTGCAGCTACTCAACTTTCTGCTGTAGATGTAAAGCAGCCACAGATCACATGTAAAGATAAGCATGGCTGTGTTCCAATAAAATTTTATTTATACACATTGAAATCTGAACTTCATGTAATTTTCACAGGCCATGAAATATTTTTTAGTTTTTGTTTCTTCAACTACTTAAAGATATAGAACACATTCTCACTTCATGTTCTAGACAACAATTTCACACTTTCTCTTTTCTACTCAAATATCCAACATCTATTCTTCCATCTCCACTCTCAGCTAATGCTTTTTCTTTTCACTAAGCAGTCTGGAGAGAACATCTTACAAGCTACCATTACCTCTATCCACTTAACTGAATGTGTCCTTATATCCTGGCTTCTTTCTTGCTACATTTCTGGCAAAGATTAACCCCTCAGTCCCAAGATTTACCCATTCAAAACACCACTTAAACAACTCTCTTTCTCCTGCATTTTCAATATGTTCCTCTTTACCTGACCTTTCCATCAGCTTATACATACAAGGCTCTCATTTAAAACAAAACAAAAAACCCACTCTCATCCCCACTTCTTACACGCCATTCTTTTTCTTCTCAGAAACACTCCTTCAAAGACAAATTTATGCTTACTTTTTCTAATTTCTCTCCCAAACCTTCCCTAAATGTACTCCTAATAAACTGTTGTCCTATCCCTCCTTTGAAACTGCCCCCATAGAGGTCCCCAGTGACTTCTAATAAATTCTCAGTCCTCATCTCACTTGCCCTACCAGCATGGGAGCTGCTGGCTCACCACCCCTATTCCCTGAAACATTTTATCTTAGCCTCCAGGGGATTCTACCATCTTAGTTTTCCTCCTACCTCACTCTTTCTTTTACATCTTCTTTGCTGATGCTTCCTCATTGCTCCAGGGCTCAGTTCTTAGACCTCTTCTCTTTTCTACCTTCATTAACTTCCTTGGTGATTTCATTCAGTCTCATGGCTGTAAATAACAATCTTATGCTGACAACTCCTATTTTCATCTCTTCAGAAGAGCTTAGACCTCTCCCCTGAACTTCAGACTCATATGCCTAATTGCCTATTACTTGGATTATCTAATAGGCACCTCAAACTTAATGTGTCCAAAATTCAGTTCCTGATCTTCCTCCCAAACCTGTTCCGCCTGCAGTCTTATCTGTCTCAGTTAATGGCAACTCCATTCTTCTGGATAGGATTTTGGGTGGCTTCCAGTTGAGTGTGATGAGTAGAAGGAAGAATGGGAGAAATGAGACTGATAAGAGACAGGACTAACAGACAGTGAAGGAGACATCAATTACGCCCTAGACTTGGGGCTTACTATGACTATGTGATACTAGCTGAGTACCATCACTTTTCCCTTCCTTGTATGCAGCTGGTAAAAGAGAGAGGAAAAATCAGTGGGTGTTATAATAAAGAACCTCAGGAGGAAAAGGCACTAAAGGGCCCACTATCTTGAGGGCATCCTGAACTTAAAAACACTGCTGGATAAATGAGACTGAAATGAGCAAGGACTAGACAAACAGGCTGAACAGCAATCATAAAACTGCTCCTGGTCCTGGACATACAGAGAACAAACACAACAGACATCATTACCTACAGGCACATGGTCAATGCTCTATCCCAGGAAATGGGAAAAGGAGGAAGGAAAAACACTATGTATGACGAAAGCTGTACATGTGAACAGTGTGGAGAAAGATAAAAGATTAAGAACTATTCTAAACTTTGAACTCTTCTGTACACTTAAGAAGCCATTTACTTGTCCAGAGCCTCTTACCTGAAACCCCATGGGCCAGATGTGTTTTAGTTAGAATTATTGGATTTTAGTAAGATAACAAATGCAGATACCATATAACTGTATTATGTAACACTCATAATCCATTAATATTTCCTTTGTAAAATGCATGAATATTCCACACCGAGTAGGATTAATAAGGACTATCAGTGGCCTCACATCAAAGTGAAGTTACAGTGAAGATACAGTTATCAGATAAGTTCATATTAGATAAGGTTTGGTGACCAAAGGAGTTATGAAAAAATTTTGTGGTCAGAGCTTTTGGACTTTCAAATTGTGAATAAATGAATGAGAATCTGTATTAACTTCAATTGGAAGAGCTTGAGCAAGACAAAATTACTGTCGATTTACGTAAGAAACAAGTATGTTTCTTATGTTTGTCTTTGGAATTTTACTTCTCATGAGGTTTGGCAGAAGAATATTTTTAGGGCCACCAGATAAATGCAAAAAGGTAAAAGTTGATTCTTACCAGAAATGTGGAATCCATTTCTGCTGTCATCAGCACTATGCCCTTTTCTTCCTTAAGTTCAGGGTAGTGATATAAAATCAGCTGGCTGGCTGCAGCTTCCCCTCGGGTCTGTAAGGAGGAACACTTATCAAGACTCAATAAGGTACCACCACAACAAAACTGCAATTTCACAGCAATGGAGAGTCTGGAGGAAATTCTGGCTCTTAACAGTCCCTTGAGTGGCTAGTGAGTTGGAGGATTGGTACGTGGGGATGGTCAGGTTTGCCAAGTCACAGCAAAACTGACAGTTTGCACAGTGTAATTTGTGTCTTCAATTGAAAAAGGTTTGGCTTTTTTCCCAGAAAATGTTTACAGTAGGCAGTGAATCCTTCATCATGGCCATATATTTAAAAACAAAACGACACGAGCAGCTACCAAATCAAGTTCTAAAGAAAGCAATATGCCTGTGTAATTGCCACTTTTATGGACTAGTGCATTTCACAGTTGAAATCTACTCCCCTTGGCTGGCTCTGAAGACTGAGCTCTTTTAAGCTGTAGCAAACAGCTGGAGAGTTTGCACATGGGCCAGATTTGTAATGTGCAGTTTTAAAATATAATCTGGGTGGGAGAAAGGGGGAAAAAGAATTGGAACATCATAATTTCATGAAGAATGGACAGGGCAGTGGTTACCAGACCTCAGTTCAGACTAGGAAGAGAGGCTGGGTTCAAAGCCTAAGCCCTCATATAGTGTAGGAGGAAACAACCATACATTCAAAAGATCTCTGGGTTTCACCTTTAAAATTTCAGGAAAAGTCCTTTTAATTATCAATACCTAATTACTGCTAGGGCTCTCTTAGTAATAGTGTAGCCTCTCAATTCTCCCGAACATTATTTCTATAGATACACTATCATTTTGATCATAATTATGTTTCTGGATCTTTTTCCTATACCTGTATATGAACTGCAGGAGGGTAGTCCTAACATAGTTTCCAAAACAGTATAATGGTTAAGTTCACAGACTCTGGAGTCAACAACATGGAGTCAAGCAAACCTAGCTCTACGACTTATTAGCAGTGTGAACTAACTTCTCTAAGCTTGCTTTTTTTTTTCTTTTCTTTTTTTAAAGAATAAACATGACACAATTTTTTGATACAATCACAAGGGATAAAGTTATAAGAAAATTCTCATTCTGTTGTGTGCTCTCTTCATCCCAACTGCAAAGCTGTTATAATCCATTCTTGTTTTTCCCAGATCTGGCCTACAAATAAAGACTGACAATCCTAGTGATTATTCTCATTTGAAATACTTTTAATTTAAAAGCTTTAAATGCTTCAAACTTCTTAATCTAGTATTTGGGAATAAAACAAAGAAAAAGGAAGAAAGGATGGAAGCAAACAAAATAACATCTATGAAATGAAAAATATGCATCGAGTACTTTAGATAGTGCTGATCTGATAATAAAACACATGTAAGACACAGAACCTACCTTAAGGTTATGACTCATAGGTACTGGGTGGGGCCTTCAAAGTATGACAGTTCATCAATGCTACAGCAAATGCTGCTGGCAGTCAGTATATATTCTGTGTTTTAAAAGTCTTAGCAAGGGCTCTTAGTCCCACAGAGGGGTAGGCCTCTTTCCCGGAAGAGATGAACACAGGACACCTACCTGAATATTTATAAGTGCAGTGAAGTGGAGTTCAGTACCTGTCCATTGCCCGACAAAAAACTCATAACCTTCCCTTCTTGGTAGTGCACAGAGAAACTGTGGGAAATGAACACACAAGTAGACAGGTGGATAAATAAAACCGCTTGCTCTATGTCCAACCACCTGTGTCATTCACTCCATTTCTTCAACATTTGGTTTTTAAACTTCTGTTGTATTTTGAAATTCATCTGTGATAATATAACACTCTTACACTTCCCAACCCACCTAAGAAAGAAAGTATTAGAGATTCACTGAAGCTGTCTATGTAAACCCATTTTAATTCCATTCTAGAATGACAGCTAACCTGAATTTGGTGCCTGTCATTCCCTTCCAGGTTTTTATACTTTTAGTGTGTAAGTATACATCCAAAAACAAGAAACAGTACTGTTTGCATGTTTAAAAACTTAAATCTTACCAAACTATATGTATACTTTTGCTACTTGCTTTTTTTACTTCACATCATACTTCTGAGATCTACTGATGTTGGTAAATATTACTAATTCATTATTTTCACTGTTATATGGAAATTGACAATAGATATTTACCACAATTTTACCCATCCTTCTTTTGATAAACTTTTTGGTCTTTTTCAATTTCTAAACTTCCTCATGTTGCTGAATCAATTTTTGCTACAATTATTATAATCACTTCATATTCTACTATCTGAGACTGATACTGAAGTATGGCTCTAATCACCGAGATGATTAATTTTATGCTCAAGATGAACTGGGGAGGAGTGGTAAAGAGACTGATTCCAGAACAAAACAAAGTATAATCAGCCTAATATGCATTAGTCATGGAACTGTCTCCTTACTGCCAACCACTAAGGTTCCGTTTTGTTATTACTAATATTAGATGAGATAACCATAGTGCCTACCTAATGGAGAAAAAAATATTTTTAAGCTTTCTTGAGGTGTATTTGAGGTATAAGTTGCACATATTTAAAGTGTACCATTAAAATAGTTTTGACATATGAATACTGTGAAACCACAGTCAACATGATTACCACAACCAACATAATGAAGGTATCTATCATGTCCAAAAATCCCTTTGTAATTCATCCCTCCCTCTCTCGAACTATTCCTAAGCAACCACTGACTTGGTTTCTGTCACTACTGGTCAGGCTTCCCAGAATTTCATAGAAATGGAACCACAGAATCTATACTTCTTTGTACAGTTTCTTTTCTCTTTCACCTGTGATAGATTTGGATATCTTCAGCATCTCTTAATACAAATAAAGCTGCCATGAACAGCTTATACATGTGTATGTCACTGAATGGATGTAAGCTTTCAGTTCCTTTGGGAAAATATGTAGGATTAGAATGGCTAGGTAGTATGGCAGGTATACGCTTAACGTACAAAGAAACTGCCAGACTGCTTTCTAAAGTGGTAGCACCATTTTGTACTATTATCAGCAATATCTTAGAGTTCCAGTTGTTTCATATCTTCACCGACACCTGGTATTGTCAGTCTTTTTAATTTTAGTCATCTTAGCGGTATCTCACTGTGGTTTTTTAATTTATTAATTTATTTTTGGCTGTGCTGGGTCTTCCCTGCTGCATAGGCTTTCTCATGTTGCAGGGAATGGGGGCTACTCTCTAGTTGCGATCTGCAGGCTTCTCTTGTTGCAGAGCATGGGCTCTAGGGCACACAGCTTGGCTGCTCAGGGGGCTCAGTAGTGGTTCCCAGGCTCCAGAGCACAAGCTCAGTAGTTGTAGTGCAGTGGTTTAGTTATCCCGTAGCCCAGGGATCTTCCTGAACCAGGGGTCAAACCTGTGTCCCCTGCATTGGAAGGTGGACTCTTCATCACTGAGCCACCAGGGAAGCCTTCACTGTGGTTTTAATTTGCATTCTATCTTAGGTACCTCACATAAGTGGAATCATACAGTATTTGTCCTTTTGTGACTGGCTTATTTCACTTCACATTATGTCTTTAAGGTTCATGAATGCTGTAGCATGTGTCAGAATTTCCTTCCTTTACAAGGCTGAATAATGTTCTGCTACATGTATATACCACATTTTATTTATCCATTCATCTATCACTGGACTCTTGGGTTATTTGTACCCTTTGGCTATTGTGACTAATATTCAACCTTTTTTTCCCTAGATCTTGAGTTAATTTTGGATACTGTATGAGGTAAGGGTTCATTTTTTGTGTGTGTATGGATACTCAAATTGTTTTGCACAATTTGTTGGACATGTGTTGAAAAGATTATTGTTTCCCCAATTACCTTGGCAACTCTGCTGAAAAACAACTGACCATGCATATATTGGTTTATTTCCGAATTGTCTACTCTGCTCCACTGATCTATGTGTCTGTTTTTATGTTATTATTACACTGTCTTCATACTGTAGTTTTATGAAATCACAGTCTAGAAATCAGGTAATGTAAGTTCTCTAACTTTGCTCTTTTTCTTAAAAACTGTTTTGTTACTCTAGATCCTTTGGATATCCAAACAAGTTTTTTAAATCGACTTGTCAATTCTGTGTGTGTGTGTGTCAATTTCTTTGAAAAAAAAAAAAAAAACTTATAAAGATTTTGATTGGGATTATATTTTACCTAGAGATCAATTTGGAGAGAAATGCCAATAATACTGAGTCATCAAACACAGTATATCTCTCCATTTACGTAGATGTTTTTTATTTTCTCTCAGCAATGTTTAGAAGCATTTTTTGAGAATCTTAGAAATCAGTACAGACACCAAGTCAGCTGACGCACCTCACCTATTCCCTTTCTCTTAGGTCTTCTGGCAGCTCACTACTCCAGCAACAATTTCATAATTCCTTTCAGACATATATAATCAAAATAGCATAGCCAAAACTGAAAAGAAACTGCCAAGAGAAGAGAAACTTAGAGGAGGTTGAAAAGATTAAGGTCTCAGGTGTTGCTTCCAACATTCACTTATATTCTTTTTTTCCACTTATATTAATAGATTAAGATCCATATCAGTAAGGGCTGAGATGTTTCAGAGAGCTAAACAGCCACAGACTTATTGGGCAAACCCATAAGGTTAGTTAGGGGTAAGGTTAAAAATCTCATTTATCAGTATAATCAACATGTAAGCATCTTTGTTAAATAACTATAAAATGTGTGATAGCGTGTAGCATGATGAGAATGGTTAGAAAACATCCTTGTCTGGCAGCACTGAGAAGCAACCCTCATACAGTCATTGGAAACTTACTGTTGGGCAGGACTGAGCCCGGTTCCAAATCAAATCAAACTTTTCTTTCTGTAGGTTAGAAAAGAATAAAATTCAGAGACAAGAAAATAAAAAAGGCCATAATCACAATTAAAGTCACCAAGACTGAACTCCAGAACTAAAATACAACTAAAACAATCTTAAGTTGCATCATTTACAAACCCCTCTTACAACAGAGAGGAAAAACCAGATGTACACTTTCTTATTCAGTATCAGAATTATGCGTGAGGAGTGGATACTTCAAATGCTCTAAATTCTTCAGGGGACTCTGCCAAGTGTCAGACAATAAGCCACTGAGTCTGTATGAGGGAGAGCTAAGAAAGCCTGTTCAAACAATGAGTCAGTATTAGAGATTTAAAATAACATGAAAAGCACAGATTCTTTTGGCTGTTGAACTCATGAAAAGAAAGGGTATATATGTAAAAGAGGAAGAAAAAAAAAAGATAGCAATACTCTCAACAACAACCAAAAGGCCTGGCTTTATTTTTCCATCTGTACATTTTCCTCCTTAAAAGGAAACTTAACACGTGTAAGCTAGGTGTATATTTGTGTACTTGATATAAACTTAACCGAAAGCTACTTCCTCTTCTGAGAAGAACAATTAATGAACTAGCTGATAACTGAGAACATTAAATGCTTTCTTCTGGGAGAAGGCGGCAGGACACTAAACCAGAAGTCAGCAGCATTCCTTCCGAGTCACAGATCTTCAATGGTCAAGCAGTGGCCCGCGACTATCTCCAAGGCAGCAATTTTGAGGAGGGAGATGCCTCAAAAGCTTGGGAAGCTCCAACTCAGCTCAGGGATAGGTCACTTATAGACAGGAAGGGAAGGAAGGTATGCTTGAGGACCTGTCCTAAATTCCAACAGCTTGATTGGAAAACACGAAAAAGAAATAAAAGACACTTGGAAATTGCTCAGCAACATAAACTTACACCATACTCCCTTGTCAGGGACTTGACTCAAAGAGATATTTCTAAACCAGAAAGAGGAAAAACAAGAGCCATAAATATACCATATGGAGCTCCCAATCTTTGGTGCTCAGGGCATAATAAAAACCCTCAGAGCTATAAATGTAGGTTCTCAAGAGGCAATAAACACAGAACAGTAAAAGCAACTGCCTACTAAGGTTAGAGCCCTGCCCCTCATGTTGTAACACTTTCATTTTCCCCTCCAAACTACTTACAGGAATAACTGCGTAGACTGTATCTTTTGCTGCAAAATACTGCTGCCAAATCTGTACAAAAAAGAGAGTGTCTGTGACCCGTTGGTCATCTTTTCAATCTGCACCAAGAAGCAGTGACAGCTTTCATTGCTCAGGTAATACGTTATTTGATAACAGGGAAGAAAATCCAACGTAATACTTTTATTACTTGTACATGATTACAAAAAAGATTTAATAGCATCTACTCTTCTAGATGATTAAACTGTAACTCTTAGTAGCAAATTCCTGTCAGAGAAACAGATTCTATGACCTTGTTAATCATTTCTTCCAAGACGTGCTTTGTGTATAACAGACACATTCTTTTTTCCATATTTTCTGTCCCCAAACCCACAATGACCAGCCATCTGTGGGCCCTCTCAGAGAACCCAGAGTCTCAAGGTCAGGCAGATATGGGTACAAATCCCAGCTCCTGTCATTTGCTGGCTATGCTACTTTGGGCAAACTACTGAAAATAAATAATTAACAACAATATAATCATTGATAAAATACCAGTAACATCAACCTCATGGGATTATTGTGAATTTGAAATAATTATTTGAAATAATAATTTCAATAATATTATTGGAAAAATAATTTGAAACATTATTTGAAATAATGTTCGTACTTAGCACAACAGAATTACAATGCCATTGGCAACCATAGCCAATGTGCTCTGAGGGCAACAAAGAGGCATTTAACCCAATTTAGAGTACAAGTACCAGAGGAAGGGACACTTGAGCTATGTCCTGAAGAATGATCAGGAGTTAGCCAGATGAATGGGGAGTCTGGGAAGATAGACAGGTAGGAGAGATGATAAGAGACATTCTAAGCAGAGAAGGACAAGCATTAGCAAAGGTACAGAAGTTAGGGAAGGCATCAGAGCCAATGTGATACCTAAGTGAGCTGGTGCTAAAGAATGAGTCACCTTCCTTTAGAGCTGCTCTGCTTTGTCAACATCCCCAAGAACATGGGATGGGGGTAACTGAAGACACTAATCAAAGTGAGATCTCACCATCACAAAACACAGAAGGAATATTACCTCCTAGGACCTGGGCAGATCACCTTATCAATGCAGCCTAAGATTGCTATGCCTTTCTTTTTTTTATGTCAAAATACTGCCTCCTCATTTCAAGGACAGCATGTCCTGCTTATTTTTATTTAATTTATATTGGCAGATAGTTTATGAATCAACACTGAATATATGAGACTGATAGATATTTCCTAACATAGTTGACCTTGGACACTCAAAATTATTTTAATGAACACAAATTTGTATCTAAAAATATAGGTTGGAATGATATTTGTCATGTAATGGTCAGGCCTGCTGGGCCTGGCTTCTCTCTCCCCTAAAGGACATGACATACTTGGTGTCCACTTTCTATTGGCACTTCTACCCAAAGGCAGTTTGAAGTTTCCTGGAGACTTTGTATTAAGCCTAAATTAGCAGAAGATAGAACTCTATGCTGTTCTCTTTTTATTTTCGTGTCTGTCTTTTCACTAGGCTGTAATTCCTTGAGAGGAGGGGTCCCTCATTTATTTCTATATCTGGCACAGAGGCTGACATTTAATAAATGCCTGCTGAAATGAATGATACAGTACCCAGGGACACCCATAGCAACTGGTACAACTTCTTGTAAGGGAATATGATGCAGAGTCAAACAGACATGGGTTTGAATCCTAGTTTTATCACTAATTAGGTAAGTTACTTTATCGCTTCAAGTTAATTTCCTCAGTTGTAAATTGGGGATAATAGTACCTACTTTATTTTTTTAGTTTTTAAAAAAACTATTTTTTTTTTCTTTTCTTAGCTTCTTATTTATATTGGAGCATAGCGATTAGCAATGCTGTGTTAGTTTCAGGTGTACAGCAAAGTGATTCAGCTACACATATACATATACCTATTCTTTTTCAAATTATTTCCCCATTTAGGTGTTTTTATACATAATTACATAATTTTTATACATAAACGGTCCCATCACTTCATGGTAAATAGATGGGGAAACAGTGGAAACAGTGGCTGACTTTATTTTTCTGGGCTTCAAAATCACTGCAGATGGTGATTGCAGCCATGAAATTAAAAGACGTTTACTCCTTGGAAGGAAAGTTATGACCAATCTAGACAGCATATTGGAAAGCAAAGACATTACTTTGTCAACAAAGGTCCGTCTAGTCAAGGCTATGGTTTTTCCAGTGGTCATGTATGGATGTGAGAGTTGGACTATAAAGAAAGCTGAGTGCAGAAGAATTGATTCTTTTGAACTGTGGTGTTGGAGAAGACTCTTGAGAGTCCCTTGGACTGCAAGGAGATCCAACCAGTCCATCCTAAAAGAAATCAGTCCTGAATATTCATTGGAAGGACTGATGTTGAAGCTCAAACTCCAATACTTTGGCCACCTGATGCGAAGAGCTGACTCATCTGAAAAGACCCTGATGCTGGGAAAGATTGAAGGCAGGAGGAGAAGGGGCGGCAGAGGATGAGATGGCTGGACGGCATCACTGACTCAATGGACATGGGTTTGGGTGGACTCCGGGAATTGGTGATGGACAGGGAAGCCTGGAGTGCTGCAGTTCATGGGGTCACAAAGAGTCGGACATGACTGAGCGACTGAACTGAACTGAACATAAAATTGAGCAGAGTTCCCTGTAATAATACCTACTTTATAAGGGGGTTATGAGAATATAGTGAAACAGTGCATATAAAGCACTAAGTACAGCCCCTGACACACAGTATACTACTTTTATTATTGATTCTCTCAATCTACCTAAAATAGAATTATGGAACTATAAGGAATGCCAATAAATAGCTTATTATATTCTAATTATAGAAAAAAGAACCAGACATGCAAATGTGAATAGCAATACAAATCAAGGTATATGGAATGACCAAACAAGTCGAACAGGTGATCTGGCTTGAAGTGTTTTGATAGAAGGTATCCAGAAGGCTTCCTGCAGAAGGTCCTAAAATAATGGAGGACTCTGAATGTCAAACAAAGGAACATGGGAAGTCACTGAATTTTTGAGAGCAGGTTACTTCATATGTTTTATTTTTATTCTTTTATTTAAAAGCACAAATATAGCATTTATTCTGTGCCAGGCACTGTTCCAAGTACTTTGTAAATATTAACTTATCTGACTCCCCAAATAACTCCATGAAGTAAGTAGTATTATTATGTCCATTTTACAGATAGCGAACCTGAGACCTAGAAAGGTTAACTAACTTATCAAAGTCATTCTGCTAGTAAGTGGCAGAGCTTGGACTTAAAACTGGCAGCTTGGTTCTAGAGTCTGTTCTTAACCAATACATTATGAGTAGAACTTCAGGAGGATTGAATGAGGGAGGATATGACAAAGAAGTAAGAGCAGGGAAACCTATTTAGAAAGGTAATACAGTCATCCGGGGAGAGAGCAGTGATGATTTTAAATAAGATGCAGACAACAGGAATGAAAAAGAAAGGGAAATGTGAGTTAACTAGACATACAGGAGTGAGACCAAGTGTTCTTATGCACTATTTTTCATGTTATTCATCACTTTTGCTTTCAATGACTGCCTTTAATTTTGGCTAGGAAGAGGTATCAGGAAACGTATGTTCATTTCCACCTTCAGATTTGGTTCACAAAGCACTTATTTTCAAAAGTATGCCAATTCATTTTCTTTCATTACCTGTTTTATTTCTTCTGCAGTTTTGTCTTTCACCATCTCAATGTTGAAGATTGAACTGAGAGTCTGAAAGGAAAAAATAAAAGGCAGTTAACACCTACAATTGAAAAAACAAAACAGCTTAACTATCTGTAAGCCTTATAGGAAGCATCATGTTAGGACAGTAAAGTAGATCTTCAGTAAGTGGAGAATGAGTATTTAAAAACCCACAAGCTCAGAGAAGGCAGCCACCAGGGTCAGGCAGTTTTCACAGTTCTATTTTCAGGGATTTCTATTTCCATTTCTATTTGTACGGATTTCCCAAAAGTTTCACACTCACTCATGAGTACTGCAGCTTGAAGCTGGTAAGAGGAGAAAGTTCAGTTGTTACCTTTAATTTAACTGCTATTCTATCAGAAATGGTTCCTTATTTGCAAGTTAAATGACAGAGTAAACATGTATTTACTTGATTTTTAAAAACTATTTCCTATAGACAGGAAAGGTATCACTACATTTCCTCTAGCACTCCAGGACCCACACTATGTAGGAGTCATAATAAAACCATAACAAAGTCATAACAAAAGTTCATAGAAATATTTCTAATTTCCACAGTTAGAAAAGCACAAAAACACTGAACCACAGTACATACGTTCAAATATGCAGTCTCCTGTTATAAATGTTCCACATGACTTCAGACTTGGCTATTCAATTAGAAACCTACCTTGTCCTTAGTGAATCCTCTGCTCACAGGCTGTTTCCCCAGTGTCTGAAATACAGGATGGGACAGGATATTACTCTAAAAGACCACCCTCCCTAGGTGAGCTGCCAATACCTCATTTAGTAATGCTGCACCTAAGAACTCACTTCTCTCCACTCTATATAGTAACTGTTCTAAGAGTTATTGTTTGTGAGACAACTTTTGACTGATTCTGAGATGCAGAGATGAGAAACCTCTTTGTCAGTAAACACCATCTACTGGTACTGAGAATCCATTCAATCCCTGGATGAGGGACTCCTTCCCAGAACAAGCCTGCTTAGGTTTCTTGTGCTCCACTTCCCAGTGAGCCACAGAGGAGATGAGAAATGGAATGATGTCTTTTCCAAGCTGCTTCTCATCTGCGACGGCACTTCTGAAGGCAGGCATCCTCAGCAGACTATCGAGTCTTTTCCAGTAATCCATATTATAATGTATTCCCACCCTCAAATTAAGACTCCCTCTCACAAAAGGCCAAGAAAAACTGAAAGTGATTATTTTCTCTCCTAACTCACTCTCAGATAAAGGCCACAGCAGGAAATCCTATCTGGAGTTGTTTCTGATAGTAGGGATGGGTTATACTGAGTTTTCCATTCAATTTCTCAGTTCATGACTATCTTTCAGAGAGCACAATCCACACCTGGAAATCTGAAACTGAAACATACTTTCTGGATTAAACTGTTTTTCATTACTTTGTGCTTTAATGAATCCAAATCTTTCATAAATGATGTCTGTAGAACCAGTACCTACAAACTAGCCAAAAGTCTGATATAGAAAAACCTACTGGATACACCCTATGGGCCAAAGTTTCTAGAGCAATTAATGAAACATTTAAAGCATCTCTACTACAGGTGCTCTGGAAATCTAAGGGGACTTTTTTGTTGTTGTTGTTGTCACAATAATTGACTGGATGATTCCACCTGCATTTATCAGAGGGGCAGTAGTGCCAAATGAACTGCAATTCTGCAGGTGAGTTCTACATAATGAAGAACTTTCCCTCATCTCATACAACTTTTCAATGTCTAGCCAGACCTACCTTTCTTCTTTTCTTCCTCCATCCATCCATCCCTTCCTCTTCCTTTTTTTAAACAGTTTTAACATTGAATTTTTCAGAAATGCAACTATATGTAACTTGCGAGAAGACTGTACCAATACATTGTGGAATCTCACGAGAGTCACTGATAACAACACTACTATTGTTTGGGAGTTTTTATAATTACCAACATAACAACTTGTACCAGTTGGCATTTGCTGCGTAAGTATTCATAGTGATTTTACATAGAGGTGAAAGTACCTGATGACTGCATTAGGTCTTGTAGCATAGTTGTGCCTAAGAACTTACATACTATTATCTGCATTTTTTTAAAACTAATATTAAAATTAAGGCATTATATTCCCTGACATTACATGGGTAGGTGGGTTATATTGTCTACATTTCATTTCAGGGTAGAACAGAGAGAATTAAATACAATTTATTACAAAAAGGGGATGTTTGGTGTTATGTGGTAGGGAACAAATGACTCAAAGAAAAGGCTTTAGAAATAGACTCATTAGTCATTAACCTTTCTCCAGCTAGATAAGAAAGACAGTAAGTGAATATTTACTTAAGAATTGCCATAATTTAAATTTAATCTTTACTTATTCTACTCTTGTCATCATAAAGGTGAATTTCTAAGTCTTATTTCAAAAGGGGACAAAAAGCTTTTCCATATAATATTGAAAGTTTATAACACAGTAATATTTCCAATAGCTATTAACTTGTAATCTTGACACTATAAATGTTTTAGGAAATTACAATAGATAAAATATTTGTAGTAGAGTTGTCTGTTCATACAAAAGTTGTAAACTAGGTTTGTCATAAGAGGTTGAATTTGTTCCTCAACCTTATAATCATTAATCCATTAACTATTCTGATTCTAATTAACTCAACCAATCATTAAGACTGAATGAACTCTTAAAATTTGGGATACCAAGCCAAAAAAGGGTGCTTCACAGGTGGCACTGGTGGTAAAGAATCCACCTGCCAATGTAGGAGAAGCAAGAGTTCGATTCCTGGGTCAGGAAGATCTCTTGCAATAGGAAATGGCAACCCACTCCAGTATTCTTGCCTGGAAAATTCCATGGAGAGAGGAGCCTGGCAGGCTATAGTCTTTGGGGCCTCAAAGAGTCATTCACAACTGAGCAAATAAGGCAAAAAGTTATTTTCCAAGTTAAAGAAACACCTATCCTTTTACAATGTAGAACCCCGATTTTCCATTGTAACTACCTTATTTCAGGCCCATGCAGCCCACATCTAGATATATTCTCCCTGGCTTTGGTCTCTCCTACTTGGATTTGTTCTGTGTACCACCCTAGATTAGTATTTTTCAAATCATAGGTTGTGAAATAAATTTAGTGGACTATGGCCAAAGATTTTTTAAAAGATGAAAATAATATTAAGAGTGCATTCCATGCAATAAAAGTAAGTATTGTTTTGTATAAATTTTGTTTCAGTTATAATCATATACATATGTGTGTCAAGAACTGCAATGTAAAATATATTTTTTACTGTAGGTCATGGTCAAAAAGTGTGGAAGCACTGCATTAGATTAATTTTCCTATACAAGTGTCCCTTAGTATCAGTCAGGGATTGGTCCCAGGACCCCTGAAGACACCAGAATGTGTAGGCGCTCAATTCTCTTGTATAAAATGGTATAGTATTTGCTTATAAGCTACGCACATCTTACCATACATTTTAAATCATCTCTAGATTACTTATAATACCTAGTACAATGTAAACTCTATATAAATAGTTATAAATACAATAAACACTAAGTAAATAGCTGCCTGCAAGTGGCAAACTGGAGTTCTACTTTCTGGAACTTTTTAGAGTTCCCTACCCTGCCCTCAAATATTTTCAATCCTCTGTTGGTTGAATCTACAGGTGTGAAATCTGTGGATGCAGAACCTGCAAATAGGGAGTGTTACTTGTACACAGCTTTCAAGATGCTTTTCCCCAGCTCTGGTTCTTGTTTAAGGATAATAAAAGCTAATATTATATTAAGCACCTTTTCCTCCCTAATTCCCACAGCTGTTGTCATGTGTATCTTCCCTTGACCATTCAACTATACCCCTTGGAAGCAGAGATTATCATTTTCATCCCCTTATATCTCCACCATGACTCTAATACCTTGCCAAAAAGAGCAGAATACCATTTACAGATGGAGACTGAGCTGAGTAAAGATAGAGTAAGTTCAGTTTATCCAGTTGACCCCTCAATGATCCCATTCCCAGGATAAGGGTCAGGCGTGGTGGTGCAGAGTATTGGTGTGCCAACAGCACCCAAAGGGGCAGGTCTTACCTTCTGTTCCACACATTTGATAAAGTCACCTTGCTTGGAGTGCCCCACTGGCTGCTTCCTAAACTCACTGCGCTTCTCCAGTCTAGACTCAAAAGCAGCTGGGTCAGACCTGATCAAAGGTAAACAAAAGGTTAAACCACCTGGGCCTTTCTGGATTTTGAAATAACAAAACACCATGTTTCACTTTCAGAGATGGGGCATAGACATCATTTGTCTTAATTACCCTGAGCACAGACCTACAAATCAAGAAAGTGGACAAAGAAATCCACTTATTCAACTATTTTTAATCCTAATGGAGCCTGTGTAACATTTTTCTCCTGCAGGATATTCCCTAGGGTGCCACAGGGCTTGGTCTCTCAGGTACTTGGAATTTGAATCCTCAAGACAGGAAAGGTACTCTGTGGGCATCTCTCTCGGTCGCCTCCTCAGACAGGAATCCCACTGTCCAGCTTTTACTGGAACACATCTAATTCTCAGCCATCTCCCTTCCCTCCCCTACTAGGGCAAATCTCCACTCAGAGCCTGGTGATCCAGAGGCTTCAGGCAGCCTATTTTGCAGATTTAGCACCCTGAGTTTCCCCTGATCCTCTCTCCAAAGAACATGTTGATGGAACATCAGAATTTGTCCTTTGTGTCAAAATGGGGCTGGTCTTCAGGCCTGAAGTTCAGGTTGGGGCTGCCATTTGTTAAGAACTCTTCAGGCTGTGTACTCTGGTGAAAATGTCATACAGGGGCTCCAGCTCCTGGGCCATGAGACCTATAGTGTTATGGGTGAGGTCTGCAGGATCTAAAAACATCCTGGTCATCCCTGTGGTGGAGTTCTTCTTGGTCAAGATATCGCTGAGTGCTCCTTCTCTGTACAACTCTTTTCTGGAGGTGACATCGAACACCACTGCCTTCACTGCCATGTATTCTGGCAGATCTTCCTCCCCTCCAGGGCAGGCCAACTCGTCCTGGATGAAGAGTTGCACCAGGGGCCCCAGCTGGTAGGGTGTGGCATCTTGCCTGACCAGGGCCTAGGTCAGTGTTGCCAGTGAGCAGATGGAGAGGATGAGGGGTGGCCTAGGCAGCAGTGCCCTGTCGTGTACTCCACCCTGGGCATCTTTTATGGCGAAAACATTCCGAGTCTCTGTCTACCCCTCTGCATCTTTCACCCCGCCAGGAACGAAAGAAAATATCTAGTTTTTTTATGAGTACATGAAAATTGCTCTTATGTCACCTCTTAAGTTTTTCTTCTCTAGGTTAAAACTCTTCACTTTTTTCCAGCCCCTCTTCAAATATGTGCTTTATAAATCTTTCCCTATTGTGGACCTGCTCTCTGGACATGCTCGTTTGTGCATGTCCTACCTACCTTGGGCCTAAAGCTAGATGAAATCCTGTAGCTCACCAGTGTAGTGTGATGCAAAAACCCAGGGGCTAGACTGGAGTGGGGTCAGCAGGGCACACAGGCTTGTCCTACCCTTGGCTCGCAATGAACTTGTGGCTGGTGCTCCAAGAACCTGGGTTTAGTGAGCGTGCTCCAGCACTAGCCAATCAGGACTATAATTCCTTCTAAACTATCTCAGGAGAGACACTACCTGTTTGGTCCTGGGCCTCATGGCTATGCTCTGTCTCGCCCCTTTCCTTAGTTTGGCAAAGGTTCTACTGACTCTTTTTTTTGGTCCTGCTTTCATTTCATACCTCCCTTTCCCTCTACTTCATGTTTTCTTCTTTTTCTTTTTGTAGGCACATAGGTTTCCCTTCCCTCTCACTCAACTTCTTTTAGGACTTATCCCTTCTTGTCTCCCTTTCACTCATTCAACAAACTTGACTTCTTGTCTCTTGCCTGTTGGTTAACTTGCTGGGTTCTAGAGATACAGAAACACAGAAGAAAGAGTACCTACCTCAAGGAGTGTACCACCTAGTAGGACAGAAAGACAAGTAAATTATGTACATTACAGTGCTACAGGTATTATGATGAAAATTTGCTCAAATAGTCCTAAATGGTTGAGGTGGTTTTATGCTGCTGTACCTTTGTTTATGCTGCTGCTCCCCTTACCTGGAACATCTGCTCCCAACACCAGTCCTTTATTCCTTTGTGCTAGGCCACAAAGTTCAAAGGAAGTTTTGGTAAGAGGTAAAGCTAGGACGACTGGCAGGTACTAGAGCACGAAGGCCTTGTATGGAACACTAAGGATATGGACTTTATCCAAAAGTCTGGGGTGCCTTGGAAAGCCACTCTTCAGGAGATAACAGTAGTGTAAATACTGATGGCAACAACTGAGTGAGGAAGGAAAGTAAAACCAGTCATTCATTTGTTCATGAATAAGAATGAACAGGAACTGTGAAGTACTCAAGAGTATATGTAGACCACTCTTCTGAGATGCTTGTCTGTGAAAGCGATCAGTGAGAAAAGACTGAAGGGGAATGAAACTCAAGAAGAAATTTTTAAAAAGACAAATACTTGAGTATATCTAAAGCTGTTGAAGGAAAGCAAAAATATTCATTTATTCTGTTATTCTTTCAAAGAAAGATCACTATAATAGCAGTGACATGGACTAGGGGTAGATGGGTCCAAGACTGGAAGAGGGGAAGACTAGTCAGAGGATGACTGCAATTCTCTAGGTGAAGATGGTGCAGTACATTAAGGCTGTGGAAGTAGAAATGATGGAACTCAGAGAAGTTATAGGAGCAGTCTTAGGTTTTCCCTTCTAAGACAACTGCCTGCCCATCCTGCCAAGTTCTCTCCCAAGTCCTTTCAATTTTCATTTTTGATCTCCTTCAGCTCTTCCCAGTTGAACTCTTTGGACCCACTATGCCCCCTTATATCTACCTCTAATGTCTAGGACCTTCCCTCTAGAAGATGGAGGGTAGTCTTAGGAACCTGGGATTCCAAGTCAGACAAATCCTAACCAGCTGTGTGACCTTTGGCAGGCTTTTAACTCTCTGATCCTCAGTTCCTCATCTTAATGAGGGTCCAACTGAGAACCAACTGTGACACTATTACTTTTTGATGTCCTTCTCCCATCCCAATCTCCTTTCCTTGTAGTCAGGGTCCTTAGCTAGAAGCCTGGGACCCCGAGTTCGAGGTCAAGCTTCAGTTGACTCAATGTTTGATCTTGAGCAGGTCTCTTCTCTGCAGAGCTCCACTTTCACATTTCGATAATGAGGACAGGTCTCCCGGGGCTGCCTGCCCCTTAAGGGCTGCCCCCTAAGAGTCGACCTCAGCGTTCTGAGAACTAAAGCAGGGGAAAAAAAAGACAACTGGAGTAGAGACTCCCGGCTCAAAGTAACCTTGAGAAAGAAGAATGGAACTGGAGGAATCAACCTGCCTGACTTCAGACTATACTACAAAGCCACAGTCATCAAGACAGTATGGTACTGGCACAAAGACAGAAATAAAGATCAATGGAACAGAATAGAAAGCCCAGAGATAAACCCACGAACCTATGGTCACCTTATCTTCGACAAAGGAGGCAAGGATATACAATGGAAAAAAGACAACCTCTTTAACAAGTGGTGCTGGGAAAACTGGTCAACCACCTGTAAAAGAACGAAACTAGAACACTTTCTAACACCATACACAAAAATAAACTCAAAATGGATTAAAGATCTAAATGTAAGACCAGAAACTATAAAACTCCTAGAGGAGAACATAAGCAAAACACTCTCTGACATAAATCACAGCAGGATGCTCTATGACCCACATCCCAGAATTTTAGAAACAAAAGCAAAAATAAACAAATGGGACCTCATGAAACTTAAAAGCTTTTGCACAACAAAGGAAACTATAAACAAGGTGAAAAGACAGCCCTCAGATTGGGAGAACATAATAGCAAACGAAGCAACAGACAAAGGATTAATCTCAAAAATATACAAGCAACTCCTCCAGCTCAACTCCAGAAAAATAAATGACCCAATAAAAAAATGGGCCAAAGAACTAAACAGACATTTCTCCAAGGAAGACATACAGATGGCACAAAAACACATGAAAAGATGCTCAACATCACTCATTATCAGAGAAATGCAAATCAAAACCACAATGAGGTACCATTACACGCCAGTCAGGATGGCTGCTATCCAAAAGTCTACAAGCAATAAATGCTGGAGAGGGTGTGGAGAAAAGGGAACCCTCTTACACTGTTGGTGGGAATGCAAATTAGTACAGCCGCTATGGAGAACAGTGTGGAGATTTCTTAAAAAGCTGGAAATAGAACTGCCATATGACCCAGCAATCCCACTTCTGGGCATACACACCGAGGAAACCAGATCTGAAAGAGACACGTGCACCCCAATGTTCATCGCAGCACTGTTTATAATAGCCAGGACATGGAAGCAACCTAGATGCCCATCAGCAGACGAATGGATGAGGAAGCTGTGGTACATATACACCATGGAATATTACTCAGCCATTAAAAAGAATTCATTTGAATCAGTTCTAATGAGATGGATGAAACTGAAGCCCATTATACAGAGCGAAGTAAGCCAGAAAGATAAAGACCATTACAGTATACTAACACATATATATGGAATTTAGAAAGATGGTAACGATAACCCTATACGCAAAACAGAAAAAGAGACTCAGATGTATAGAACAGACTTGTGGACTCTGGGAGAAGGCGAGGGTGGGATGTTTCAAGAGAACAGCATCGAAACATGTATATGATCTAGGGTGAAACAGATCACCAGCCCAGGTTGGGTGCATGAGACAAGTGCTCGGGCCTGGTGCACTGGGAAGACCCAGAGGGATCGGGTGGAGAGGGAGGTGGGAGGGGGGACCGGGATGGGGAATACATGTAAATCCATGGCTAATTCATTTCAATGTATGACAAAAACCACTGCAATGATGTAAAGTAATTAGCCTCCAACTAATAAAAATAAATGGAAAAAAAAAAAAAGAGACTCCCGGCTCTCACACTAGCTGTGTGATCTTAGAGTGGGGACAGAAACAGAGGTCCTCTGGCAGGGCTGCTGGAAGGAATGAGAGCGCCGGATACAGATACACCAGAAGTGCGGGCAGCGCGCCGCCCCTCCTCCCCGCCCGCCGCCGGCCGGGCCCGCACCTGCGCAACTGCTGGATCTTGTCGCGGTAGCGGTCGTAGAAGGGGTTGGCCTCGAGCTCGTCCCCGACCCCGCTGCCGTCTGCTCCCCCGGCGGGCCGGCCGGAGCTGCGGCGCACCGGGAACACGCGCAGCTGCGCGGCTGACACGAGCCCCAGGCCCGGGGCGCGGGTGCGCACTGCGCATAGGCCGCGGTAGAGGCCGGCCACCTGCAAGAAGGCTGGGCCCGCGCCACCCGCCGCCGCCACCACGGCAGCCATGGCCGCTCCCACCTCCTCCTCCTCCTCCCCGGGTGCGTCGGCCTCGGCCCGCGGCCCGCGCGCCCGCTCCATCGTCCTCCGAGTCCGCCGCGCCCGCGCTTCAACAACGAGGTTCCGCGCTTTCAATGTTCCGGGCGCCGGGGAAAGGCTGGGTTGGGGGCAGGGGATTCCGTGCTCCTGCCCGGGCCCCGGCCCCCGCCCCGCGTGTTCCGCAGCTCTAGCGCCCCCGCCCGCCTTCTCCCGACCAGCAGCCCTTGCCCGCCGTCTCCTCTTGAAAGCTGCTCAGACCTGCTGGTCCCCCACCGTGCCTGCTGCCTTTTAAATTCTTTAGGCACACGCTGGAGTCGTCGTCCTTCAGCATGGAAGGCCCTTTCATCAGCTGTTAATCATAGCAGCAGCGTCTCTTTACTGAGCGTTTCTATGTGCAGGGCGCTATCTGATTCATAGCACGTGAGGCAGGTTTCATCCCCATTTTACAGACGAGGAAACTGAAGCTGAGAATCATTAAGAGATTTGCCCAAAAACTGAATTCTTTTCAAGATTCCAGCTGTTTCTGAGGTCTTGTCATCTGCTTCCTGACACCTACCTTGAACTCCAGCCAAACTGAACTACTCTTCTCCCCAGAGAGACACCTGGGTTTGTTCTTGACAAGTCCTTATACCTGGAACGCTGTCTCTCCACCCAATGCCATCATCTCCTTCATCCCCTGGACTTGGACAGTGACATCAATACCTGTGTCTCACCTGGAGCAGGCCCCCCTGTGATGGCACCAATCAGTCTGTCCTCAAGAAATTCCTCCTGTCTGGGGCTTACCTGATAGAAGCCCCTCTTGAATGGTGGACCTCTCAGGTGCAGGGACAGCACTTTCAACTCTGCTCAGCCCAACCTTCAGTTTCGGAGATGGACCCCAGGCCCTAGCCTGTGCTGGGAGTAGTGTGGTGAACTTTGAGATCAGCAAGTCCATTACGTGTGCCAGCCTGTACCTGCCTTAGCATCCTTGCAGTGGCTACTCCCTTTGCACGTGGCTGTCTTCCCATCATTTAGGGTTCAGTTCACAAGAGAGCACCTCAAGGGAGCTTTTCTTGATGCACCCACATCACTTTATATTCTTTATTCCACTATCTTATTTTCAGAGCAGTTGACTGCCTGAAATCCTTAGGTATTTGTTTACAGTAATTTATGGAACTTACATCCTAGTAGGGTGAGGTGCAATATTATAATAATAATAAATAATGTTAGGTGATAATAACATGTTATGCAAAAAACAATAGTCTAAGAGAGACAGAGATAAGGGGACATGTGAGCAGAGACCTGAAGGAAATAAGGCATGGTCTGTATGGCTATCTGGGGGAAGAGCCTTCCAGATGGAACAGCAAGTGGAAAGGCCCTGATGCAGGAGCATGGTTGCCCTGCTTGTGGAACAGCAAGGAAGTGACTGTGTGAAGGAGGCATGGGGAGAGGCAGTTTGGTTTTTCAGGGCTTTGTAGGCTTTGGTTGAGGACTTTGGTTTTATATCTGAGTAAGATGGGGAGTCACTATGGGTTCTGAGTAGTGAAAGTGAAAGTAGCTCAGTGGTTTCGGACTCTTTGCAACCCCATGGACTAGGCCATGGAATTCTCTAGGCCAGAGTACTGGAGTGGGTAACCTTTCCCTTCTCCAGGGGATCTTCCCAACCCAGGGATGGAACCCAGGTCTCCTGCATTGCAGGTGGATTCTTTACCAGCTGAGCCACAAAGGAAGCCCAAGAATACTGCAGTGGGTAGCTTATAAGCGCCACTTTTAAAAAGGATCATTCTGACTGCTGGTGAAATATAGGCCGTGGGGGATAAGGATGGAAGCTCTCCTAAGGGTGACTAATTTGTCCCAGTTTACCTGGCATTTCCCTGATTTTAGCATCAAAATTCCTATATCTTGGAAACTCCCTCAATCCCAGGCAATTGAGGATGGCTGGTCACACTTTAGGGGGAGACCAGGTGAGAGAGGATGGTGCTTGCACTAGAGTGATGGTGATGGCATACTGGTCAGATTCTGGGCATGTCTTAAAAGCAAAGCCTAAAGATTTTGCTACTGGAGTGAATGTGGGTGTGAGAGAATGAAGAGCATCAAGGATGACTGTCAGGTTTTTGGCTTGAACAACTGAAAGAAGTTGCCATTTACAGACAGGAGGAAGGCTGGCTTAGGTATTCGAAGATGGGCCATCAGGAGTTTGGTTTTGGACAAGGTAGTTTGAGGTAACTTAATAGACTGGCTAGGAGGGATGTCAGTCAGGCTTTTGGGTATATGAGTCAAATTCGGAGAAATGATCTGGGCTGGAGGTATAACAGTGAGAGCTGACAGTGTAGCTATGATATTTAAAGCCGTGAGTCTGGGGGAGATCACTGAGGGAATGAATGTGGATAGAGGGCTGAGGACTGAGTCCTAGGGCACCTGACATTTAGAGACCAGGGAAAAGAAGGCACACTAGCAAAGGAGACTGAAAAGCAGGAGCCAGTAAGGAGAGCCCAATTAAATGGAACCAGGAGAGAAATCTATGCTCATTATCCCCAGGTGCCATGCTGAAGGCTTAAAGAGGGAAGTAATTAGATGGTGCCAAGAAGCCAATCTAAGCTTAGTGGTGCAACCTACATGGAGGCTGACTTGGGCTTAGTTATTTTTCTGAGCTGCCCGTAACCTCAGGAGGCGTGAGCAAGTCCTTGACCCAAGCAGTTCCTAAGGATTACTGGTACATAGAGGAGATCTGCTTCTAGGACTCAAGCATCTGCTGGGAGTTGGACTAGACAGCTCTCAAAGTGCCTTCAAACTGGACGTGGTGAAATTCTGGGAGCTGATGGAAACAACTGTCTGTCACAGAGTATGGGGTGTTGAGCTGAGCCTTGAAGGATAAGCAGGTGTTTGAGGATGGGGTGAGGGGGGGAGTGGGGAGGGGCACTCCTAGGTGGAGGAGCAGTGTGAGCAAAGCTCCAGAGATGGGAATGGGCAGGGTCTGTTGAAGAGTCATCTGGTCAGAAGGGAAACGTGTATGAAGGATGGGGAGGAAGGTGAGGCTGGAAAGAGATGTAGGGACAGGTGGTGGGAAGCTCCCATAGGGCCAGATGCCCCAGAAACATTTGCCAACACTTGGCTGAAGGAAAGTAATTAAACAAAAGAGATTGTAAGAGCCAAGGAAGGAGGTGATAACTCAATCATAGAAGACTTGAGGTCAGGGCTGCCCACTGCTCTGGGTGTACCCTGTCCCAGTCCCCATTTGGGACAGGTATCCATCAACTTTTCCTTAAAGCCGAGGGACACAAAAAGCTTCTGAGGGCCCTAGGACCCTGTCCTGGAGGCTGCTCTGTGGGTCAGGGGTAGAGGACCAACAATTCAGAGCGTGGGTCAGGCCCTGGTAGAAGCAGTAGAGGTGCACAATGTCCAGAAAACACCACTGGTGGAGTCCCTTCCTTCCATTAGACTTTACAAATGCTGCCCCTGGATGCTCAGTGTTCGGAACTCAGTGACCCACCTTTAAGGAACAATGGGGTCTGGGCATTCTGGGGACTCCTATTGGCTAAACAGATGAGTAGGTGAGCTCCCTCTCTGCAGGGCCGCCAGTGAGGTACCAAGATTTGACTGTATGGATTCCCAAAGGGAGGACCTCAGTCTCCCTGGTGGTAAATGCGCTCCCTCCCCAAACCCCCGCTGCTTGCTTTGTGCCCTTAGGCTTGGGGGCACTCAGGGAAGAACTTTTGCCTGGATGGGAGTGATGACTGCCTGCATGGAAGAGTATTAAGAGTTGGGACAGGGTTTACTCTAGAAAACTACAGATTTCTTGAGGGCAGAGGCCATGTATCTCTGCCCACCCAGAGAATATCCCAGGACCGTCTCAATTGAATGGTTAGGGTTTGGTGAAATGGGATGGGATACTGGTGTCCCATCCACTGGTAAACTGCTACTTTCTTGATAGGCTTTGCCTGCAGTGAAGCTTCTTATACTGATGTTTTGGATGGGCCAGGGTTGGGATCCAGAGGCTTGAGTAAGCCTGGGCAGCATGCTTCTCTAGACCTTACTTCCCTTATCTGTGAAGGGCTAAAGGTGGCCTCTTAAGCTCTCTGAAAATTGTTTTGACTGAATAAAAGAATGATGAGGCAAGTTAATGAGAAGAAAAGGAAGGAATGGAGAGAGTGGTTAAATGGAGGAGTTGTTCAGTTGCTAAGTCGTATCTGACTTTGCAACTTCATGGATTTACAGCACACCAGGCTTTCCTGTCCTTCACTGTCTCCCAGAGTTTGCTCAAACTCATGTCCATTGAGTCAATGATGCCATCCAACCATCTCATCCTCAGTCATCCCCTTCTCCTGCCTTCAATTTTTCCCAGCATCAGCGTCTTTTCCAATGAGTGGTCTCTTCACATCAAGTGGCCGAAGTATAGGAGCTTCAGCTTTAGCATCAGTCCTTCCACTGAGTATTCAGAATTGATTTCCTTTAGGATTGACTGCTTTGATAAATGGAGGGGACGATTGGTGAAAGGGATAAGGAGAGGAATGAGAAACACCTGAGACTCCCCAAACTACACCTTTCAGCCAGCTTATTCTTTTTTCTTATTGCCTTTAGTGTGGGTGTCACTGTACTTTGGATTCCTGGGGCTGTGTTCTGTGGTAACTGGCAGCTGCATTCTCTTTCTGCATTGGAGGAAGAACCTGCGGCGGGAAGAGCGTGCCCAGGAGTGGGTGGAGGTGATGAGAGCAGCCACATTCACCTACAGTCCGCTGTTGTACTGGATTAACAAGCGACGGCACTATGGCATGAACGCAGCCATCAATACTGGCCCTACCCCTGCTGACACCAAGACTGCGACTGACGTCCAGAGTTCAGATTGCCCCTGGGAGCTGAATGTTCCTGAGAGCAGGAGCTATGCTGCTCAAGACGGCAGCCCCAAGGTGGAGGCCCTTGGCCCCCTGCAACCTGCAGTGCAGCCTCCCCCACAGCAGCCCCTACTTTCTTCCCCAATGCTGCGGCCCCAGGCCAGCTCCCCATTCCCAATTCCCATCTTTCAGGAGGTGCCCTTTGCCCTCTCCCTGTGTAACCTACCCCCGATGCTGAACCACTCGGTCTCCTACCCTTTGGCCACCTGTCCTCAAAGGAATGTCCACTTCAGTTCCCTCCCCACAATGGCCCAGGGGGACCACTGCTTGAATGCCAAGCCCTTTGCTTCAGAACTGTAGCCTCCTCTCACTGAGGATGGGAGTTGGAGGTACCGGGGGCAGAACAGGAAATAGAGCTGACCTCAGGGAGGTGGTATTGACATAAGGCCAGGGCCCATGTGGATGTCACATAATGAAAGATTTAAAAAGTCCAAGGCTCCATGTGTCTCATTTGTTGTTAGGAGGGCAGTGTCTGATGGGGGGCATTTTGCAAACCGAGCTAAAAGTCAGTCTCACCAACACCAGTGGGAATGGCTGTGGGGAGACACATTGAGCCAGTACTTGTGATGGGCTCAACATCCCTCTATCTGTTATTTCAGAACAAAACCATGTGCCAGACCCTGGGTTAGGTGCCCAAAGGCACTGCTGTTCTGTGGGACACTGAGCACAGCCACAGGAGTGACAGTCACTGAGGATGCATTAGCCATGGTGATTCGTAGCGGCCAAAACAAGTCAGTATGAAATCTATGAACCACACTGCACTGCTGCTTCAATTGCATTCTTTGTTAACATCTATGATGTGTTGTCTCTACATTATTTCTAATACAAGAACACTGTCAAACATATCACCACCTTTCTCTTTCAGATCAGGAGTTTCCAAGGGCATTTCACATATCATTTAAAAAATATTTATTTTGGCTGTGCTGGGTCTTGGTTGTGGCACATGGGATCTTTATTTGAGGCATGTGAACTCTTAGTAGTGGCATGTGGTATCTAGTTCCCTGATCAGGGTTCAAACCCAGACCCTCTGCATTGGGAGCACAGAGTCTTAAGCCATCGGATCACCAGGGAAGTCCGTCATATCACATTGCAAAGTCTCAAATTTATGTCTGCCTGGCATCAAAAGTTCCTGATTTTTCCACCATTCACCATGGTCTCCATTCCCTAATGTCTTCTTTGAAAACTTCTTGGAAAATGATTTGTGTGTGTAGGGCATGATTAACTTGGTTCACAGATTGACTTGGCAGAGGGCTGGCCAATGAATCTCCTAAAAGTATCCCTTTTTTTTTTTTTTAAATCCTAAAAGGGATTCATGGCTTCTCCCAAAGTTAAGATCCAGTGCATGTGAATATTATTTTTTGCATCTTCTGGAAACTATTCTAAAGGGAGAGACAAAGATAATACTGGCTATTTGATCCCAGTTCAAATCTAAGAAAACCTAGTTCTGCTCCAGGATATAAAATTTTCCTTCACTTTGGAAATAAGAAAATCCCCTTACTGTATTTATGAGCTAGGCTTTATGTATGGTTTTTCTTGAGAGGAAAGGCCTCCCAGATTGTGTGTGTGTGTAATCCCAGAATCTAGCAACCATGTAGAGCTAATTAAAAATTTTTTCTTTTGTGTGAAAAAAACACCAGCCTCTTCCTCTATGACCCTTATATTGCAATGGATTTCAAGCCTTCTTCCTTCGTTTTTCCTGAAGACATGAAGTATTTCCTGTAAACATGCTCCTATAGTGAACCTCAAAATAAAAAGCAGGGCTAAGAGGAACTTCCCTGGTTGATGCAGAGTCAGGGGCTTTCCTCTTCCCTCACCCTGCCCACACCACCACAGTTGCCAAAACGCCTTCATTTCTTCAGGCCAAATTGGGCAAATCTGCAGATTCTTCAGTGTTACTTTCTGTCCACCATCTGTTAGGCTTTGCATTCAAAAGGAGGAAGGAGTCCATAAAAATGGATCAAAGTAGATTTTTTTTTCTTATTAATGGGGGGGGCAGCGCGTGCGTGAGCCTTTTTCATGGACACAGTGGAAGAAAAAAAGCAATGTTTAGATAAAGCATTTAGATAAATTACAATGGTTTTATTACTGATATGAAATTAGCAAAGCCAAAATTAAGTGATGGAAATCTTGAGTTTACTCCCTAAACAGAACCAAAACTGCTTAAACATTACCAAAATAGCTCCACTAAAGCAAAGAAGGTTTACATTTCTTAATATGAGAAAACAACAAGGTAGGTTAGGTTCGTATAACAAACAATATACGCTCTATAAAGTCTCAGGAACACCCAAATGTGTTCTGGTTTGGATATGAGAGAGGACCCACATCTAACTGGTGTTGTGTTGGTAAGCAAGCCAATGAGGTGTGTAGCAAACAAAAGCTGTCACTAAAAACAACTCAATAGCAGGCCATTATGAGTATGAGCCCATCTCAGTCAAAATCTTCAACTGTGACCGCTGAGACCAGAGCGGGAAGGGGGGCAAATGGGGCTCTGTCCAGCAACAAAGTGGGGGAATGCCAAAGGCAGGGAAAGCAGCTGGCAGCAGGTGGACAATGTCCACTCTTCAGCTGTGCTGTAACAGACACAACCCTAAGAGCCAGGCTCTTCTCTGTCTGTAAGATGACACTACTTATTTAGGGATCTAACCCAGTTTCTCTCTTCGAGTTTTCTCTTCAATATACTGCCCCTCGATTTATGGGGGAGTCTCTCTAGGTAAACATTATACCAGATAGAAGGCAAAAGAAAAACAGGACCAAGAAGTCATGCTTTGGGTAACTTAGGAAAGCAGTAGGAGCTGCCAGAATGAAGAGATAAAAAAGCATTTGAAATGAAAACCGAAACCAAAACTACTAATTCTACTCAGCCTTCCTCTCAGGATTGAGATGTGGCAGGTTAGGCTTGATCAACACAGATCAACACACGTTGGGTAAGTTAAGACAACTTTCAAATAAAAATCCCAAATTAATACTGAACGATACTGATTCATGCTGATGTATGGTAAAAACAAACACAATATTGTAAAGCAATTATCCTTCAATTAAAAATAAAAAAATAATGAACAATACAGGCTTATGGGGATTCTTTTTTTAAGCCAACAAACATGCTAAACTTAGAACAAAGAAGTTCAAGATGTCCTAGTTTTACCTGGGAGATATAGCACTTTCCCAGGTGGTATGACAAGGGTATTCACAGGTCTAAGAGTGTAGAGGAACACCTCTGCCAAATTTGATAGGGGAGAGGATGGTACCATCCACCTTGAGGTGGGAAGAACAGAGGATAAACTAAAAAGCACAGCTGATGCAAAAGAAAAATACATACAAAGAGTAAAGTTGTCCTCAAAGTGTTAGCCTATGAATAAGAATTTGAAACTAAAAAGGATAAGCTACATTACCCTCAAGTATATTTCATATAAATCAATTTTCAAAAAATACCTTCCAGGTATGGACATATTATTTATGGTACAATATATACAGATATAGCAGTACAGTTTATTGCTAGAATTTTATTTGGTTGTTACAAAATTTGCAAGGGTATATATATTAAAAAAAAGGGGGGGGGCATGAAAGGCAGCCAGAAGACTAAGTATCTTCAAGTTACCTAAAGTGCCAGACTAATTTTATACTATATTTAAACCTTTCCAAGAACATAAAATAGCACAGAGAGGCGAAGGAATTAGAAACATGAGCCATATGAGGTAAGCAGACACATTCATGGGAAAAGACTTCATCCTGCCTTAACTCTAAATTTTAATATCTCCAGGGAAAAAGAAAGGTTAGCCAACACCAAGCTGAACATCATATGAAGGAAAAAACCAGCCCTTAAACATTTAAAGGTGTTCAACTATATCCATGGCTAACAGGGAAACTTGGACAAAGTGAAAATGGAAACTAGCTCTACTAAAGAAGTCTGAAGTCTTCTCTAGTTTCTCCCTGACTTGGCCAACAGCACAGTTAAATTCTTCAGTTTCCCTTTTGTGTAGCCTGAAGGTTGCTTCTAAGATCAACACAGCACAAACATAGGTGACAAGGAGAAACAATTCCTTCTAGTCCAGGGACCTTTAGTACCAGGGCTACAGAAGTATTTAATGGGAGGATTATACTTGCTTGTATTAGATTTGAAAAAACTTGCTGCCACCATGTGAAGCCCTTACTCCAGGCCTGCCTGCCATGTTCTCTGGACAGAAAGCCTCTATTTATTTCTGCGCTGCAGTTGTAAGGAAATGTAATATGATTTCAGGCGTTTCATTTTACAACCTTTTTGGCCTTAGTTGGCCCACAGAGGAACACATTAGGTTCTTGGTTAGCCCCCAGGTGAAAATCTCAAGAAGTTTCCTGGATCAGAATTAGAGGCAGTGCTTTCTTCTACAGTTCCTGAGTTGCCAGGCTGAGACAGTGGCCAAGGGACTGCGGCCCTGCCATTCAGAATGGAGATAGTATCAGAGGTGAAAGTCGGTTAGAGCTTAAAGGTAGACTTGAGTGGATGGGTGGGGGAAGATAATCTAGTTCACTCGGGGCGGGGGGGGGGGTGCAGGGGGGGAATGTGGCTCCTACTGGATTAACTTTTTACGCATATAAACCCTGAAACAGGATTAAAATGAGAAAATCCCCAACAAGACTTCTGGTTCACAGGCTGGGATTAGCTGAGAGGACAGAACAAATAGCCAGATCTTACCTTCCTGAGTCTAGAGGCAGCCCTGTCCCCACAGTGTCCGCTCCCTAAATCTATCCCCCCAGCACCAGGCCACACCCCATGGCAGCACCTAAAGATGTCTTAAGGAGACGGGGACAGAGCTTCAAGCTGCTACCGGGTAAGATTAGCAATTTTTAATAACAAGTCATTTGTTCACATCCTGTTTCAAACCATTCTTCCCACTTCTCACAAAATATGCACGACTCTTTCATTTTAAATATTTACAAACAGAAAAGGTCTATCTGCTGAAGGAAAGACATTTTCTGAGTCTGTATAAAGTGCAGCTAATTTAAGGCAAATTTATGTGAAATATAAAAGGTGGCTTACTCTCTCTATATACACATTTTCCAGTTTTAAAAGATAAGGTCTCCTCCCGTCAGAAAAAGGAAAGAGAAAAAAAAGAGGGCTTGACTTTTTTTCTGGCAATTTTAAAATTAAGATCTTATTGGTTTCAGGAAATCATAGATTTCTGAATATTATAAGTAAAATGGTCTTTTTTTAAAAAAATAACTTTTATATAGCTTTTCAAACAAGTTAAAAGGTGACAATGTGTCTGCTATTGTAGTTTGGAGGACTGGAGGATTGATGGGTAGGTAAAGGGTTGTTTTTGTTAGCTGAGCAGATAATAGGTAGTCCACAGCATACATCCACTTCGGAAATGAGCTTGATGAGACTAGACACCTAAAGCTGCTCTCAGCTCGAAGAATGAGTATCTTCCATCTCCATCAGAATCAAACTCTCTCAAATGCTCTGGTTCTGGCCCAATAGACTCTAAGGAGTCCTCGATTTCCTGGTAGGTCAGTTTCCCATCCACATCCTGGCCAGTCTTACGGAATAAGCCCTGAAGATCTGTTAAAAAGGAATCACAGAAACACATATATACCTATATGCATAACTAAATTTAGTTTACAGTTTAAAAAGTAGTCTCAACTGAATTTAAAGCACTAAAAGAAAAGCTACTTTGCAGACTTTGTTCCCCAAAGGTAAAGTTTAAGGTCTTACTAAATCTCAAAGAGGAATTCTCTTTGCTTTTTAAATTTTTATTTATTTATTTTTGGCCATGCTGGGTCTTCGCTGCCTTGTGCAGACCTCTCCACTTGCAGCGAGTGGAGGCTGCTCTTGGTTGTGGTGAGTGGGCTTCTCACTGAGGTGGCTTCTCTTGTGGTGGAGCACCGGCTCCCGGTGAGCAGCCTTCAGTAGTTGTAGTAGCTGTGGCACACGGGGCTTAGTTGCTCCGTGGCATGTGGGATCTTCCTAGACCAGGGATCAAACCTGTGCCCCAGCACTGCAGGTGGAGTCCTATCTACTGAGCAACCAGAGAAGTCCCTGAAAGACTAATTCTTGATCCTTTAAGGATGAGAGGATACTGTAGGGCACCATCCTCCCAAAATAGAAGCAGTGACAGACAATCACAGGAGAAGTGAATGGACTAATTTTCTCTCTATTCAGGGCCTTTCTTTAAGATTTTCTAGACTTTACTCTTATGTTGAAGGGGTGGAAGGGACTGCAGAAGCCTAAAGAGCTAACTGATAGGAGCTCTGATGGCCTATAAAACAGACTATGGCATACTGTCAATTCAATAGTTATTATATAATCCAGTAGTTCCATTCCTAGGGTATTAACTCAAGAGAAATGAAAATGTGTGTCTACACAAAAAGTTATAAACGAGTGTTCACAGCTTCATTGTTCCTAGTAGTCAAAATGTAGTATATCCATAGGATGGAATATTATTCAGTCAAAAAAGGAATGCAATATTGTTGCACGCCACAAAATAGATAAACCTTGAAAACACTGTGCTAAGTGAAAGAAGCATATTGAAAGAAAGAAGCATACATAAGACCATGTATTACATGGTTCCACTTACATGAAACACCCAGAATTGGCAAATCCAAAGAGAAAGTGGTTGAGAGATTAGTGGTTGCCAGGGGTTGGGGGAAGGGGGATAATAGGATGTGACTATTCTCTTTCTGAGACTGACCTTCCCTACTCTCCCACCCTGCCCAAGAGCGGGCTCTGTAATGAATACCTAGGAGGGCCAACTGTTTATATAATGTTAAACAAGGGCTTGAGGGCCAACTGTTTATATAATGTTAAACAAGGGCTTGACTGTGTCCCCATGGAATGAGTTAGTATTACTCACTCAGTCTCTAGAACAGACTTATGGACATGGGGGAGCGAGGAAAGAGAGGGTGACAAATGGAGATAGTAGCATGGGAACATATAGATAGCCAGTGGGAATTTGCAGTATGACTCAGGAAACTCCAACCACAGCTCTCTGACAACCTAGAGGGGTGGGAAGGGGTGAGAGGTGGGAGGGAGGTTCAAGAGGGAGGGGACATATGTATACTGATGGCTGAGTCATGTTGATGCATGGCAGAAACCACCACAATATTGTAAAGCAGTTATCCTTCAATTAAACATAAACAATAGAAAAAAAATAGATTCAGTCTCTAATACCAGAGAACAGTACTGTCAAGCAATTTTGTAGACAACTTTTTGTGTAAGTCCCTACTTTCAGTCCTAAGAGCCCCAACAAAGCAGCTATATAAAGGTCTCTGAAAACCAGGAAAACAATGAGACACTTGTTCCCAATTCCTGCCACCAAGTGGTCAACTGGAAAATGTTTTTTTGTGTGTGTGTGCATGTGTGTACACATGGGGCATGAGTTTATAGAATGTGCTAAGCACTCTGCAAGAGTATTCTAATAAAAATCAGATTATTGCCTCAGGTCATTTAAAAAATGTAGTCATTCAAAAGTGTGCACCACTTATATTAGGGATTAAAGTATAAACGTTAAGATGGCTATTTCTTAATCTGCTCTAACAGTCTTTCTTTTATTTCATCAATTCTTGATGTAAAAATGAAGAGGAGGAGGAGGCAACTTGTGTTGCCAACAAACACAACTTAACACTCTCCTGTCTCCCCAGAAAACAGAAAGAAAAAAAATGGGGATAGGGAAGGAAGTATTTAAATGGCAATATAAATTAAAAAAAATTTTTTTTAATTGAATGATAATTGCTTTACAGAATTAGGTTGTTTCCTGTCAAATATCAACATGAATCAGCCACAGGTATACATATGTCCCCTCCTTCTGAACCTCCCTCCTGCCTCTCACCTCTTCCCACCCATCTAGGTTGTCACAGAGCCCTGGTTTGAGTTTCCCGAGTCATACAGCAAATTCCCACTGGCTATCTATTTTGCATATGGTAATGAAAGTTTCCATGTTACTTTCTCCATACGTCTCACCCTCTCTCTCCTCCCCCCGCCATGTCCGTAAGTCTGTTCTGTGTGTCTGCTTCTCCATTGCTGCCCTGCAAATAAATTCATCAGTACCATCTTTCTAGATTCCATATATATATGTTAGTATACAATACTTATCTTTCTCTTTCTGACTTACTTCACTCTGTACAATAGGCTCTAGGTTCATCCACCTCATTAGAACTCAAATTAAATGGCAATGTAAATTTAAGTCTTCTATGCTTTAAGAATTAATTGTAACCTGTAGATAACTTATTCACTTAACAAATATTCACATGTCCCAGGCATGAGGATAGGGGCTGGGAGTGAAGTTAAATATTATAACTCCCCAGGAAATTACAACAGTGTGACCTGTGCAAACATAAGATACTGTGAGTACACACACAGGAGGAGCCTAGTCCCGTCCTGGGAGGTTAAGAAATGTTTCCTGGTGGAAAGGTTTCTAAAGTGAGGTGAAGAGTCAGGCAGAGAGGGTGATAGGAATGGGTGATTTTCCAGGCAGTTAGCAAGTGCAAAATCAGGAGACCAAACACCACAAAGAGGGATGGAACACACACTGCTGGAAGCAAGGCAAACACATTTCTCTGTGAATCAGATCCTTCCTACTAACATTTATCTTGCCGATTTTCAGCCAAAGACCCCTCATTTTTGGAGGACTTCTGACAAACAGGGTCAACTTTTACTTTATTTTGCTAGTCTCGAAGTATTACGTTTGCTTGTCTTTTTCACTGGACTGTTATATCCGTGGGGAAAGTGAGACTGTATCTTCTTATATTGTATTGTTACTGCTTACACTGGGTCTAACTAGGTACTCATTGAATGACTGAAGACTCTAAAAACATTCACAGAGAGATAACATAATGCAGTGTGGTTAAGAGTAAAAGTTTCGTTGTCAAATTGCCTTGGTATGAATTTTGCCTCATCAGTTATTGGCTGTATGGACTTCAGGCAATTCCCTATCGGTAAAATGGGTATAATACATCACTACTGATGGTCCCAGGATTGTTACCAGGATTATATGATATAATGAATATCAAGTATCTGGCCCACAGGAAGTTCTCAACAGTGTTAGATATCAACCTTTATCTTACAAGTTAAAAGAGAAAGCTACAACTTTGAGCTATTTCCTCAATCATTCCATAATATAAAAATTTTACCTTCGATGCTAGAAATTCCTGGAAGGGAAGCGGGTCTTAGCTGGACAGCTTTCTCAATGTGGTCTCCAAGAGACCGTGGGAATTTTGGCAATATTGATGGCTTTGATGTGAAATTCTGTACTTTCTCTGTAACAAACAATATACAGTTTTAGTATTACCAGTCTGACATAAAATTAAACCAATATTGAAGGTCACCTTCAAACTTCAATATTTAAGTTTGAAGCTGTGGTTCCAACTGGATGCTCTTACAGTTCAAGTTAGCATTATATGTGTTTAGAGGTTGAGAGTTCAAGCTGCAATGAGAAAAGCATTGGGGATTTGACATCATAGGAATTCTGCTAAGAGCCTGATTTGAGGGTATGTGTCACCAGACCAGCTGTGCTTAAATAAAGCTACCATACAATTATGTAGCACAATGTCTGGGTAAGGCTCCCGCTGTACTTTTGTCTCCCAAGTAAAAGAGAGTAACAGAAGTTGTATTGCTTTCCCCAAAATGCAAAGTACTTGTGGGTGGGTAGAGGTCAAAACGAACATAATCTAGTGCCTTGGTTACATCATTAAGCAGCACCAGTAGAGGTTGATGCAACTGCTAATATCGATTAGGTTATGTCCCTGCCTAAAGTCAAAGGCCCTTCCAATTCAATGATCCCACATTATTACTTGTTAATGGCTTTTCAGGAGGACTAATATTTATTTTTAAGTAAATTTTATGCACTTACAGAAATGAAGACTCCCATAAACAACATTTAGGGCTGGTTTAATACACACCATGACAGTAATGTTTCTGCCTATAATTGGATGCAGACAGCATGGAAAAGTCTATTTCCAGCTAAACATTACCCATTCTTCCCTTAATAGACTGGAGTACAAATCATGTGCAAAATGGGCTTTTTCTAAATGAAAGCAAAGTGTAGCAGCTTCAACTCGGTGCGCTCGGGCATCATTCACTCCATGCCATCAGTCCTGCCAGAACACCTTTCCCCATTCCCCGTGTGGGAGGCGATGCCCAAGCCTGCGTGAAATATTCAGAAGCCAATCCTGAATATCTTACCTCCATTGGCAGTCTCTGGAGGCCTGCTGCTCTCAGGTTTGTTTGTGAGAGCACTTATCAGCTGCAGTTTCTCTCTAAGCTTAGATACCTGAGAATCTGAACTATCTTCTTTCTGTCCAAAACAAAGATCATAAAAGATTTAAGGCAGAAGCAGGACCTCATCTGATTCTTCATGATATTCCCAAAGCCTAGTTAGCCTGTAGTTCTTGACCCCAAATAGGCTCCCTCTGAGGGCAATGAAGGAATGATTCAGTAATTACTAGAGACATCTTTAGTACTCAGTGTTGATGAGGGCTGGGCTGCACTTGAGCCTAGACCATTCAGGGAACATTATGCCACAGATGATCCGATTCACTGTGTGCACTTGGCAGCTGGGGAAGGCATGCATATGCCAGCAGTAAAGGAATGCACACTTGCTCAGGTGCCTTCATGACACCCATTTCCTAAATGGGCAGGATCCTGGTGTCTAGGATCTATTTCATATTAACTAAATAATTTTCCTGAGTAGCTTACTTCACCTTGTGACTATACCACTTTAGGTAGAGTTTCATGCTCTTATTATCTTAAAAAAAAAAAAAGCAACCAGACCATAAGTATTCCCTTGATCTTCCTTCTTGTCCCCCATAACTATTCAACTGGTGGCAGGAACTGTTAGGAACATGAAAGAATTATAGTATTTCTAATTCAAGGCTTTACTTGTATCTTTAAAAAAAATTTTCCCCTTCCTCTGCCTCATTCCAGGATGATATAGTGGCATATAAAAATACAATTAATTATAAAGAGAGAGAAGTCTGATTTCTGTGAGGTCAGTTTCTAACTGCATAGGCTAGTATGAAAGGTCCTGATCCTATGTCTAATTACAATATTGACCACTATATGTTTCTTTCATTCAACATATATTTACTTATTTCTCTCCTATCCTTATTCTACACTAACAGTTAATGTATAGTAGAAGGGAATGGCAACCCACTCCAATAATCTTGCCTGGGAAATCCCATGGACAGAGGAGTCTGGCAGGCTATAGTCCATGGGGTCACAAGAGTCAGACACTACTTAGCAACTAAACCACCACCATGGATCACTCTTAGTTTGTTTAGGGAGTCAAAATATGGATCTATATAGCTAAAACTAGGTACTAAATGCTTGAATAATTTATAGCAAGGAGAAATTGCACTTTGCTAGGATGCTCAGATGAGGCAGCACTAAAACATCGGGGTAACAGTTAAAAATCACAAAGTGTCAGAAAGTAAAGCCAAAAAATCCAGGCAAAAATGTGTACTAGCTCTATTTTATTCTGATATTTACTATCAAAATCTGAACTGTTGTTGAAATCACTACCACTTTCCAATAGTAATCACCTGTTACTTTTTTTGTGCTCAACATTTTTATCTGGATCTTAAATTTCTCTTGTTATTCTCTAGGTGAAGTTCAAATTTTTTTTTTTGGTAGTAGCAGTTAGAAAACTCAACAAAAACCTAGCTTATAAAGCACTAAAATCTTAATATATGTGATTTTTATCTAGATAATACACAAAACTGTTAAGAACAGGTATAGATGGAAAGCATTACACTGAAAACTGTCTGACATATGGTTCATTTCCAAGTTTATTTCCTGTGAACTCACATCCTTGAGCTTATCAAATGCAATGTGCATATGAAATGATATTTCAGTCACTCAGTCACGATCTTCCTGGCTTTTCCTTTATCTTAACCCAGGTCTTATAATACTAATACTACACAATACTCTAATCACAGAGAATGTTGAAAACACCTTTTTTTTCCAGGGATATCAAAACTTATCAGATTGTCTTATTTAGACAATATATCTGGGAGAAAGGAAAAAAGGGAAGGTACAAGGTGAAGGGAACTGGCTAAAGCTTAAAGGGACTCTGTATGCACTGAGACTACAATCTTTTCTCCCCTCTTCCATTCCCCCAAAGACTGTAATCTTAACAAGAAATAATTTTTAGTTTAGATACCATTTTTAGATAATTTATACCTCTGTTTCCCATCAACAGTACAGAGAACTTACTGTCTTAGCTTAAAAGTTCCTTCCTTAGGGAAGTTTTCCTGTTCTATTAACACTCTGTGATATCCTATACTTTTCCTCTGTAGCACTTATATTCCACTCAATTATGTGTTAATGATCTTTTGACTGATGGACTTTGAGCTCCACCACAGGAGCAGTCATATGTTTATCCTGCTCACTGTGGTCACCCCAGCTTCTAGCAGAGAGCTGGGCATGGGACAGGTGCCTGATAAAGTATTTACTTATTTACTAATATACTAATTACTGTGTCTTGAAGTTTTCAGCAAAAAAGACTGACGTGCTCCCTTTGAGAAAGAAGCAGATGCCTATGCATTTACTCTTACTTCAGAGAAAGTCTCTCATTATTTACCTTTATGCCCTGGGATTTTACTGACTCTATTCTGTTGGTCACTTGATGCAAAGACTCTCTCTTCAGAGTGGCAGCTCTATCATTCACCTTAAAGGGTAAAAGGAACAAAACAAGAATAGATTAAAGGAAAACATGAAAACTTAAGCAACGTTTAGGACTTTTTAAACAAACTTGCCAAACTTATTTAAAGGATCTCAGAACACTCAACAGAAATACCAGCAGGAGAATAAGAGCAGGAGAAAGGTTTTAGAGAGACAAAGCTGAAACTGGTGTTTCTAGTTGTTTCCATCACAAACTTTAAAAAACGAGAGAACTTTAACCCAAAACCATGCTGGGTATGATACTTTTGGAAAAAACAGTAGGACAGATGGTACTAATAGCAATTTCCTCTTCTGGAAAAAAATAGAGTGGGGAGGGGAGGGACAGTATGGGGAGCTTTAGGGCCGGTGAGTTTTCACAATAAGCCTTGAAAACCAACCTTCAAGGCCTAATACTCATCAAATCACCCCAAATTCCTAGCCTCTACCATCCTTAGTTTAGCTAAGTTCAAAAGGACTTTTTGAAAGACGGCTCCTTTAATCTTCGCAGCTTTGTAGTAAATTACATACCCCTGGAAAGGAGGAGGACCGGGTTCTCCTCCTCTAATCTCAAAGCCAAGGCCAGGCAACTTGCCAAGGCTGCACTGTGGCAGAGCCAGTTCAAAGGTTGTTTCCTACGTGCCAGAGCTTGACGTTACTTGTGGGCTTGCTTCCAGCTTTGGCAGTTACTTGATTTACAGTGCAATGTCCTATATTTGGTTTCTATTTCTACATATGCCTATGTCTTTGCTGTATGAAATTTTTAAGGGTGGGGCTTGCAGCTATTAAAAAATAATCCACATGGATTTCAAACAGTGAATATGTGAAAGGTGATTTTTTAAAAAAGAAAAGAAAAGAAAAAAAACCCCATCACATTTTATTTGCAGTAACATAAAAATCAGTAAACCATACAATCTGTCAGCATCAGTGACTCAGTACATCTTTCGGGCTCCTCTTGTATAAAATGAAAGGATGGACTCAATGATCTCTTTAGGGGAGGAGCTGGTCTGACATGACGTGTCTTAAACTTAGCTTTCCTGCAATGTCATTTCCTGACATTTTCTGCAAAGTCAGATGAAGACTGAAACAGGACAAGTCTGAAAGCCTAGTTTGGGTTTAAAAAAACAAGATTCTCTAGTTACTGTCACTGTCATTGTTCCCACCCTTAATAACTTTTTTTAAACTCCTGATTTCTTTTTTTTTAATTTGGCTGTGCCAAGTCTTACTTGTGGTATGTGGGATCTAGTTCCCTGACCAGGGATTGAACCGGGGCCCCCTGCATTGGGAACATGGAATCTTAGCCACTAGACCACCAGGGAAGTCTCAAACTGAAGTACAGTTGATTTACAGTGTTGCATTAGTTTTCAATGTACAACAAAGTGATTCCATTTCATGTATGTATATTTTTTTTTCAGACTTTTTTCCATCCTTAGTAACTTAAAAAAGAAAAGATCAATAAGACTTTCCTTGGAAATATATGCCATAGATTCCCTACCAGATGAGTCACCTGCAACACAAAAGGAGGCTTGTCATCTTTGCCAATAACTTGTGGGGAGGCCTTGGCAAGTAACTGAACCTCTCCACATCTCCCTTCCAAATCAGGACTAACACCGCCTGTGCCATTCACATCACAGAGCTAGTGTAAGGATTAAAGGAGACAGGATTAAGCACAACACAAATGTGGAGCCTCTCAAGTATGCCAGAGGTCAGTGTCTGAAAAGGTGGTGGAATGTCATCCATGTACAGACAAAACACACAGAACACGTCAAAAAGAGGGGAAGAGGCTTACCATGCTGGAGGACAGGTTCGCTTGCTTTTCTACCTTGCTCATAGCAACCAGATCTCTTTCTATCAAGTTGACTCTTTGGGTAAGATTACTGATGGTCTCATTCATCCCCTCGAGTTTAAGATCATTCTGTCTCTGGTACCCAACTTGGGCACTGTTTACTTCCTCTAAAAAGCTGTGGAGGTACAGGATATCCTAGAGTGGAAATAAATCAAGTTATGGAATCCAGCTAAAGACATGTACTAGAAAAGTGGTGAACAACCCTTATTTTGTCAAGTTACTGAAGTAAACTCCTTTCCCTGCTCTAGACCATCGATTGTCTGTCTCTGCTTTGTCCCTCCACTCTGAACTGCTCCCAGTTGACTCCCTCTGGAATTATCTGACCTCAGTTAGACAGGAGGGGGAAAGAGGGAAGAGACTACCCACATGCTTCACTCTCTGGTCCTAGAAAGCTGAGAGCTTGGAAATTGATTTCTCAATGTTTACCTCACCTGCTGGTGAGAAAGCTTGCTGGGTTATTAACTGAAATGCTCATTAACCTAATTTGTCAAGAGTGAAACCACCATTGGAACAATACCAATTACTGAACTGGCTCATGTAGCAAAACTATAACAGGTAGTGCATTATTTAGTATAAGATTCAATTTTTTTTTATTGACATTCTCCAGTACTGATTGCTATTTAAAAAGGAATGATGACTACAGGTTTTACAGGGCATTAAACTCAGTATAGGAATTCTTAGTGAAGATTTCTTTTATTCTCTTTAATGTGATTCTGAACTCAATATCCTTTTCCCTCCTCTGGTCTTTAGTCTTTAGAAACTCTTCATTTTCAAGGATATGCTTTCTACTGTTCTGAACTGTGACTCAAAACAGCTATCACTTTAATTTACTATTCATCCATCTTTAATTTGTCCAGATTGCTATTTTTCAAAAACAGTTTCAGGATAATCTGGTTACTCTATGACTTTCAAGATGTGAAAAGGAATTTACTCCACTGATGGACATGCAGGGGAAAAAAAAGCAATGTGCCAAGGGGGAGACAGGCCGCATGTTGGATCCCTGACAGAGCCACACGTACCCTCTCTCTGTTTAGCTCTCAGGCAGGCAAATGTGTGCAAGAGATGCCTGCTGAGGGACCACAACACGGAGCCCATACTACGCAGGTCACCTTCAGATTATAGTGTCGTCTCAAGGGAGTTAAACCAGAGTCAAAAGTACCTGTTTCAAATTCTCACTGTGGGTTTTATTGTCAAGTTCAGATAGAGTGGAAGGTGATGGAATGATCTGGTTGCTTCCATTGGTTTCCTTCAAGGTGTGCTGATTCTGTTAACAGGAACAGAGGTTGGTATAGGCAATAAGTACTAATAATAACTACAACCACTTATTCATCAGGGATGGCCTGGAACATTCCAGCTTCTCACAGAGGCATTCACAGATTAATCAACAATCATTTCCTGAAAGCCTTAGTGTGACCAGTCCTGGGCTAGGCCTGTGGGCACCAGGTACTTCTGGGGAGGCCTGGCCTAAAGCCTGGACTGGACCAGCAGCACCCAGACTACGTCAGGGAACTGAGGTCCTGTTTCTTAGCCTCAGAATGAGAAACTGAGAATGAACTCCCTAAAAACTAGGTCTTCTCTCCCAGTTCCCTTTATTCTCAGAGAAACTATAGAACCCCTGTATCTCCCAGGACCAACTTGGTCTGAACCTGGTTAGTGTTACCATTTTTCCAGGATTAAAGAGATCTGCACATTCAAAGAACAGCCAGTCATGGAACCACTGGCTTTGGGCATTGAGCAACATAATCAACCATGTACATTATTAACTTTTCAGTTTGTAAAGCACATGCCAAGAGTTATGTCTGAAGGTTACCCTTCCTTTCTCATCCCATTCCCACTGCTCAAAACTCTGAAGAGACTGAAGTATGACATGTTTATATACACTTTTCCCTCTAACAGAAAATGTTTGTATGGCTTATTCAGTAGTAGGATTACCACTGGCAACCACAGAAGTTTAAAAGATGCAAATAAAATGATAAGAGTATGCAATTGGCCAAAATAAATTGTTTTCCTTGAAATCTGAAATCCTAGACATTGTCAACTCTGCTTCTATAATAACCAAATGGTAAAATAAAGAAAAGGAGAGGAGGAGAAAAAAAATAATCCCATGGTTCTATAAAGTATGAATTTTTGAGTTAGGAAAAAGTATTTTAGAAAATAATTACTTTGCGAAAATGCTCAAGCTATTAAAATAATGAGAATAATAATAATAAAAAAAGAGCTGTTGGGCTAGAGAAGTCTTTATTATCATGGATCAAACAGTTACAGGGTAGAGCTAGAATTAGAATCCAGGGTGTTTAGACACCCAGATCAGGGCTTTTTCTTCTGGGTCAGCCCCACTAAATGAAAATGAGGAGTACTTGTTCTGAAGAAAATGAAAAACCCTCCTTTCCAGAGCTCTAATATAGTCTAGGTCTCCTTGGTACAAACTGCTCAGTTTAAACTTGAAACTCCAAAGCTTGAAAACAACCTGCAGGGGAGATCTACAAATTGGTGGAGAATCTAGGGAATTTTTGTGTGCCTTGTACCATCCTGATTTCACGTATGGATACCTCTTCTCTCTGGCAGGACAGTGAGGGCTGTGTCATTCTTTTTCATCCTTCATAAACCTTTCGTGGAGCTGAGTACCCATTAGGAGATAAATTAAAGCCTTTGAAGGACTGAGACAGTTTATATTGGCACAGCATTAAGAGAAATTTGAAAGCAATTCCTGAACACTGCAGGGGTTTTGCTGTTGTCTCAGTTATCTGTTGCTGCATAACAAATCATCCCCAAACTTGGCGGATTAAAACAATATTTCTCATGATTCTGTGCGTTGACTGGGCTCAGAGGGGGTGGGGTAGCCTCCCGCTTCACATGGCATAGGCTGAGGTCATCCATGCAGCTGTAATCTGACTGGGAGACTGGCTAAAGCTGGAACACCCAAGCTGGCCTTTCACCCTCTAGAGCTCCTCTTTGCTTGGCCTCTAATCATTCCATAGTCTAAGAGCCCTGCCCCAACTCCTAATCCACAGAAGAGTGAAAAATAATCCAGTGTTGTTTTAAGCCACTAAGTTTTAGGGTGATTTGTTATGTAGTGATAAATAAGACACTTCCTCACCCCCTTTCCTTCTTTTCCATTTTATTTCTGACAGATTCCACTCTGAGAATGGTATCTTAGTGCTGTACCTCCTTCACCACATTTGCAAAAGACTCAGCTTTTCCTATCTTAGTTAACAGATTGTAGAAAAGTCAATAAACATTGCTTACTGTATCTTTTAAAAAGGTGCCTAGTGTGGTCTGTTTAGGTTAAGTGGAAAGTTAGTATCACATGATAACACAGAAGAGGGCAGGCGGGAGTGTGCTGACTTTCGGTAGCATTTGTAGATTTCCTTACCATGTCACTCTGTAGTAGCTCCACGGTTTTCTTGTGTTCATCCACAGTCTTCTGTATTGCCTCCACAGCAAGATGGACACTATTTAAAGTGTTGCCAATGGAAGCTACACTCTGAACAGAAACATGGAGTAGGGTGGGTGGTTTTTCCTTTTTGAAATTTTTAATAGCTTTATTAAGACACAACTGATAAACAATAAACTGAACATATTTAAAATGTATAACTTGCTAAATTTTCACACACACACATCTGTGAAACCATTACTGCAATCAAGATAATAAACATCAATCACCCCCAAGTTTCCTCACACCCCTTTGTAATTCATTCCTCCCCACTGCCAGGCAACCACTGATCCACTTTCTATCACTACCTATTTATCTATATACCTCTATGTGTCAGTTTGCATTTGCTAGAATTTTATATAAATAGAACAGTGAGTGAGCATGTACTTTTTTTTTTTTTTGTTCTGGTATGGCTTCTTTCACACAGTATAATTATTCTGAGATTTACATACGCTGTAGCTACTCAGCACGTTGTTGAGTAGCATTCTACTGTATGGATACATCACAGTTTATCTCCTGACCTGTTGATGGCCACTTAGGTTGTTTTCAACATTTGATTATTACAAATAAAGTTGCTATGAACATTCACATACAAGTCTTCATGTGGGCATATGTTTTCATTTCCTTTCATCATATGTCTTCTTGTCAACACAATACTTAGGAGTGAATGCCTGATCATATGGTATGTATGCTTAACTTGTTTATTCCATCTCCTCATCAATACTAGTATCCTCAGTCTGTTCTTTGTTAGTCATTCTAGTGGGATTGCAGTGGTATATCATTGTGATTTTACATTAAACACTGACCTAATGGAGGATTATTTCAAATATCTTCAAACTATGAATTCCATGTAGCTTGTGCTGACACAATTAACCAGAAACCACACACACACACACACACACACACACACACACTTTTCATAGAGGAAAGCCAGAGCTTTCCTAAAAAAAAGTACTAGTTTATAAACCTGGGACCCGTAGGTAAAGTTCTCCCACAAACTGTCTCTATCAGGCCCTGAAGGCAGATGACCAGAGGTAACATGGTAGATTGCCACTCTCAGAAGAAAATGATGACTTCTGAGTAAAAATAGGTGGAGCTATTTTTGGCTTTGGGAAACCCAACATCACAGAGATGAAGGGAAAATTTCATTTGGCAGCATGTGTTCTTCTGCTTTAGAATCCCATCGGCAACTACTGAGTAGAGTTTGACATGGGTAGTAGCTTATTTGCTTTCATTGTGTGTATGGAGCCCAAGTGGATTGAGGATTTAGGAATATAATTCAGAAACTATCTTTTTAAAAATGGCTTGTTCTAAGGGATCATACAAAAGAGTGTTACTAATTTGGTAGGTTTTGGCCTTTCATTAAGATATACTGACAATTTTATAGTGTCCCATTAGTATTTTTAACCAAGGGTATTTTTATTACACTGATAGCCAGCCAGGAATCCAAGAGAAAAAGAAATGTCATTTTCAACATTAAAAAAAAAAAAAATTAAGGAGATACATTGAAGTTAGGTTTTTGAGATGACCTACCACTTCAAAACTGAGCCGCTTGTAATAAGAGTAGTGCCTGACATTAGAAATGCACAGGATTGCAAGGAGACAACACGCTGGGCAGAAGTCTCTAAGCAGGGTTGTTATCTATACAAGCTTTGTTGTTACAGAAGCTACAAGCATTCAAAGACATCCACTGTTAGAGAATCCTCACTGACTGCATGTATGAGCCCATCAGGATGCAAAAAGATAGTAAGCTCTTGTTTAAGACTTTTTTTTAAGGAAGCAGCTGACAGCATGTGAACTCTACAGCAAAACCCTGAAACTAGTATTCTCACCAACTGCAAAGTGCCTGGCACATACTGGAGGAAGCCCCACAAATATTTATTGAATGAATGAATGTGAGAATAAACCAATTTCCTCTTTGAATGCAAGACTATCAGAGTTGCCTCTGTATTGAAGGTACAGAGGCCTACCTTTTCCCCACTTGGCCTTTGGAACAATGGCAAAAAGATTCTGGTCTCATCTGGTCCCTATATTTTTTTAAAAGTTGTAAGCAGATGACCATATTGGACAAATAGCAGACTATAGAGACTGCGCACACACAGTGGTGTGGCTGTAAAAGTTTTGTTTCTGGCTTATGAATTTCTCATTCCCTGGTGCAAACAATTTATACGTTTACAGAGGGTGGTGTGGGGCTTCTCTGGTGGCTCAGTGGTAAAGAATCCACCTGCCAACGCAGGAGACACAGGTTCGATCCCTGGGTCGGGAAGATCCCCTGGAGAAGAAAATGGCAACCTATTCCAGTATTCTTGCCTGGGAAATCCCATGGACAGAGCAGCCTGGTGGGCTACAGTCTATGGGGTTGCAAAACAGTCAGATACAACTTAGCGACTAAACAATAGCAACAACAAAAACAAGAGCCTGGTACATAATCAAATCAAACTTGTCACATGTTGACTTTTAAAAGTCAAAGATTCTAGATTTGATACCCATTGTCTGGGGTTCTCTGCTTCAGAATCTCTTCTTTCATTTCCTGCCCCAGGGCCTCATGTTGCTTGTGTGCCCTCTTTTCCTTCCATTCCCAAGCCATTCTCCCCACCCAGGTCTAGAGATCCTCACATATTCTTCATTTGGTTGGTCACTGCCTCTTGCTCTCGACCTGAATCCTAGGGATCAAGTAAACAGAAATTCTAAAGTACTGTTTGCCTAGGGCCTAGAGTCTAGAGTACATACTGAAGAGTGATTTGCTTAGAGGGTGTGCCCCTTCACCTTTATAAAATAATATATACTGTTTTCTAAAGTGCTTTTTACCAATTTATACTCTCAGCAGGAGTGTTCGAAAGTTTTCTTTGCACCACATCTTTGTCAACATTTATCATATCCCGGAATTTTATTTCCTACTTCTCCAAATCTTTTTTTTTTTTTAAACCAAAACCAATAAAAACACACTCACCAAAAACACCTCTCTTTCTCAATTATGGAAAATAAGAGCAATTTAGGGTAACTCTCATGTACAACTGCTCTGCTTTCATAAAGACACTGTGGATGTTGAACTGAAAAGGCAAGTAATGAAAAGCAAACCCACACATGTTAACATGAGTCCCAGCAAAGCACTCCTGGGATTTGGAAAGCCAAATAAAATGGTGTGAATCCATATAAACCACAGCTAAAGTCACTTGTTGCAAATTAAAAGCCCAACTAACCACACCAAAACAGAGACGTCTTGAACTCTGCTAGTCTTCTTGGAGTAGCTGATTTCAAATACCAGCCTTTCAAAGAAAATTTGCGAGAAGGTAGGATTACAGTTGGTTAATTTCAGTATCTACACACAGCGCTTACCTTCTGAAGTCCCTCTACAGTGGCAGGCAGGCTAATTAAGTCTGCAGCTGACTTGACGTTGGCTTTGAGGTGGTTTACTGCAGAAGTCAGCAGAGAAATCTGAAAGGAAGTGAGTAATAAACAATGAAAACAGAATCTGTAGAACAAATGATCGCTTCACACACACTGCAGTTGATGAGGATTGTCAAGGCACCTTTGGATGCCATGTGATTCTGCAATCCAGACATCCTGCCCCGTCAGCTCACAGGAACAGAGGAACTCTGTGGAGTACCTTGGATAGACCTGAGGTGTGGAAGGCAGCAATAATACCCCTTCTCTCCTGGCCAGGCCAAAGAGGGAAAGGCAGGTATTATTCTTTACCCCATTCCTGGCAGCTACAAGATCCAAAAATCTTAAATTGCCCAAAAGATGCAGTGATTATAATACAACCCTTAAACAACTGTACAGGAAGAAAGCTAATGATCAAGGACCTCTAAAAGATTTCATTTTGATAAAAAATACCACCTCAGTTACTTATTGAACTTTTGTTCCTACCCAAGTGGGAAAATATATTATAAAGTAAAAGCCCATCATCACAAAATATAGTTAACAGGAACTGAACCTGACAACCTGAATGGCACTTTCAACTACTTGGGGACTTAGTTTTGGTTTAACAATGTGATTAATATTTCAAACTCAATTGCTCAACCAAAGCACTACTTTGGACCCTGGAGGGGCTCAATAAATACCCACTAACTTGCTGGCTGACTGATAGACTGAATGTATTAAAACAGGAGTTGAATCAAAATAAAATATATCTTCCCTTCTGCGATTTAGGGATAAAATTCTAAATAGCTGGACTTCTCTGTTGAATGAGGACTGGGGGAATCTGTGTAATATGCCATTTCAGGTTGCAGAGATTATACTCCAACAACTGCAGTGTGGCTGAAGATGCAGTTCCACACTGCTTTCCTGACCCATATTCGAGGATGAGGACATAGACCTACCAATAGCAATTATATTCAGAGTGGCCTCACAGAGTAATCAAGGAAGGTTCAGGGCACTTGTGACATGCCTAACCCTGTGGTAGGCGTAAACCTGACCCCTTATTCTTTTCTTCAACACATATCTGGCACCTTCTCTGTGCCCAACACTGCGGAGAAAGAAGCAAACAAGATCATGAGGTTTTGCTCTCAGGGAGCTTACATCCTGGTAGAAAGGTGATAGAAGAACAAAGAAAAAAAGTATTAGATAATAACAAGTACTATGTAAAGTATTTAAAGAGAGCTCCTGGAGTGAGCAGCAGCATGTTATGAACAAGGGAGTACAGTGGGGAGCCCTGGAACTTTTCTCCCTCTTTCCTTTTAGGAGGGATATGTTCAGGGGTGGTAGATCATTTTCCTTTCATTCATCCTCTCATTTATTCATGTGTGCTGAGTCACAGTCATGTCCAACTATTTGTGACCCCATGGACTGCAGCCTGCCAGGCTCCTCTGTCCATTGGATTTTCCAGGCAAGAATACTGGAGTAGGTTGCCATTTCCTACTCCAGGGGATCCTCCTGACCCAGGGTTCAAAGCTGGATCTCCTGTGCTTTCTGCATTAGCAGGTTGATTCTTTACCAATGAGTCACTAGGGAAGCCGTCTCATTCATTCATTCCTGCAACAAATATTTATTGAGCCCTATTTTATTCCAGTGGTGAACAACACAGATGTCAATGATCATTTGTGTTTACATTTTAGTGCAAAGAGACACAGAATTTCATGTAAGAAAAATATTTAGATAGTGGGATGCATTAGAGGAAAATTAAAATAAGGTGACTTGATGAATGACTGGGTAGCTACTTCAGACTGGACTATCAGAGAAAGCCTCTATTAGAAGATGAAATTTAAGATGAGATCCAAATAATAAGGAATTAACCAGCCAGATCAAAAGAAGTACATTTCAGAGGGAACTGCTAGGTCCCGGTGTGGGGAAGAGCTTGGCATATTTGGAGGACAGAAAGAAGGCCTGGGGGCAGGATCAAAAGATGAGTGAGAAAAGGACGGGGAGCAGGGAGGGGAGGGAGGGGAGGGCAGAGAGGCAGAGGCTGGGAAGAGGGATGGAGATCAAGGTATCATTAAAGAAACAAGTACTAAATGTGATACCAAATAAAGTCTGAGAAAAGACTATTACTGCAGGTTGAAAGGGACAAGCTTCACTGAAACAGGACTCAAATCAGACTCTGACAGAGAAGAAAGAGTTTTATATATAGAAATAAATCAGCTTTCCTTTCTAGGTTACAAGGGTGAGTGTGGCATCAGCGAGTAGGTAGGAAGCAACAGCAAGAATACTCTTCCTTCATAGCATTTCTCAAAGTGACAATGATTTATTTATGTGTGTGATTTTAAATGAAGGTTTCTCTCCTCCACTAGACAGTAAGCTCCATGTCATCAAGGACCACCTCTTTTTTATTTTCCATAACACACCTGGCACAAAGACAGGCATTCAGTAAGTATCTACCCAATGAATGAATGGCTAAGAATGAACACTCTGTGGCTGAGATGGACACTGAGAAGGTGAGTCTGAGCAGAGCAGAGGGTGGAGGCTAGGAAGCAGAGATAAAATTACGTAAGTGTGAACTAATTTTCCTCACTGGGAGTATGGTATAACAACAACCATTTCATAGGGATGTGTAATGGTTTTAAAATATGTCCACAAATTCTTTGATGGTCTTCCCTTTAAGAGGTGGACACTAATTCCCTTCCCCTTGAGTGTGGTCTGCACTTGTGACTCATATTTGGTCCACAGAATAAAGTGTAAGTGACAATGGGCAACTTTGGAAACTAGTTCATAAGAAAGCAGTAAGTCTTCCTTTTTGTTCTCCCTTAGATCACTTGCTCTGGACAAGCCAGCTGCCATGTTGTAAGAACACCCAAGCAGCCCCATGGAGAAGCCATGATGGACAAACTGAGAATTCCTGCCAACAGCCCTGTGACTGAGGATCCTTTAGTCTCAGTCAAGCCTTTGGATGATGCAGCCTTGATACTATATTTTAGCTGCAACCTTAGATCCTCGCTAGAGCAACTCAACTAAGCTGCTTCCAAATTTCTGACCCAGAAAAATTGTGAGATGATAAATGTTTGTTTTTTTAAGTCATGAAGTTTTGGGGCAAATGTAACACAGCATCAGATAACTAATGCAGGCTATGAGGATTAAATAAGATAACTAGAACTCTTAGCATAGTAACTGATACAAACAAAATACTAAATAAATCTTAGCTCTTTAATAACAAAATTTAATAAGCACTTAAACATGGAATTCTCCATAAGTGTTCCAAAATATTCAGACAAATAATCAACATTCCAACTCTATCCATTTAAAAATAGAATGAGTGAGAAACCTCAGCCCCAGAGAGATATTTGCAGCAAACCATAAATTCTTAAGAGCAGCAATTTCATCAAGGAGGTTTTAACCATGCCTTTAAAAAGGTATGAATAATATTGAGGTCTTTTAAAGCACATAAGGAAACAGGTATTCTCATGCATTGTTAATGGAAATGTAAATTGGAGACACTTGTTAGATGGTTATCTAGCAGTATCTGTCACAACTTGAAATGTTTATACTCTTTAATCCAGCAACTTCATTTCTAGAAATATCTATCCTAGAGATTACTTGCTTAATCAAAAAGAAGAAAATACCTAGGAATAAATCTAACTAAGGAGGTAAAGGACCTGTACTTGGAAAACTGTCAGACACTAATAAAAGAAACAGAAAATGACACAAACAGATGGAAACATATATTGTTCATGGAGTGGGAAAAAAATCATTGTTAAAATGACCATACTACCCAAGGCAATCTATAGATTCAATGCAATCTATATCAAAATACCAATGGCATTTTTCACAAAACTAGAACAAATAATTTTATATGGAAACACAAAAGACCTCAAAACGTCAAAACAATCTTGAGAAAGAAGAACAAAACTACAGGCATCATGCTCCAGGATTTCAAACTATACTATAAAGCTACAATAATCAAATGGAATGGGACTGGTACAAAAACAGACACATAAATCAGTGGAACAGACCAGAGAGCCTAGAAATGAACCCACACTCATCTGGGCCATTAATCTACAAAAAAATATTGCAAGACTATACAATGGGGAAAAGATAGCCCCTTCGATAAATGGTGCTGGGAAAACTAGACAGCTACATGCAAAAGAACTGAACTGGACTACTCTCTCACACCATGCACAAAAAAGATCTGAAACCATGAAACTTCTATGAGAAAACACAGGCAGTAAGCTCTTTGACATTGCTCTTAGTAATATTTTTTTGAATCTATCTCCTTAGGCAAGAGAAACAAAAGGAAAAACAAATGGGACTTCATCAAACTAAAATGCTTTTACACAGTGAGGGAAACTATCAACCAAGTGAAAAGGGATTCTACTGAATGGGAGAAGTTATCTGCAAATAATATATCTGACAAGGAGTTAATACCCAAAATATACAAAGAGCTCATACAATTCAACACCTAAAAAAAAAAAAACCCGATTAAAAAATGGGCAGATCTGAACAGATTTTTTTCCAATGAAGACAGGCACATGAAAAGATGTTCAACATCACTGATCATCAGGGAAAAAGCAAATGAAGACCACATTGCCTCCCACCTGTCAAAATGGCTACTGTCAAAAAGACAACAGATAACAAGTATTGGAGAAGATGTGGAGAAAAGGGAACATAATGTAATGGGAATGTAAACTGGTGCAGCTACTATGGAAAACAGTATGGAGATACCTAAAAAAATAAAAAACAGAACTACCATATCATCCAGCAGTTTCATTCCTGGGTACTTATCTGAAGAAAATGAAAACATTAGAAAAGATGTATGTTTCAAACACTCCCTGAAACAGTTCTTATGCCAACATAAAGTTGAGATGCACTATCAAAAATAAAAGTGATAAAAGCAGCCAGAGAGTACCCTAATAAGTTTCAAATCACTGTATAAAATGATAAAAAATGACTATGCATGAAATGGTTTAGCTTAAATGGTTTAGCTTAAATAAAAGTTCCTGCTTTAAGTCAGGAAATTAATTTTTTAAAAACTAAATCAGTCCACACCAAAAAGAGGAAAAAAAAAAGAAATATGCACCTCTATGTTCACTGTAGCATTATTTACAACAGAAAAGATATACAAGCAACCTAAGTACCCATCAACAGACGAACTGATTAAGAAGTTGTGGTGTGTGCTATACACATACATACACATATACATACAAAAGAATATTACTCAGCCATAGAAAGGAATAAAATCTTGCAGATTGTCTTGCAGACAATACAGATGAACCCAAAGGACATTATGCTATGTGAAATAAATCAGACGGAGAAGACAAATACTGTAGGAAATCACTTATATGTGGAATCTAAAGAACAAATGAACAAACATAACAGAAACAGATACAGAGGACAAACAGGTGTCTGCCAGAGGGGAGGGGTGTGGGGGAAGGAAAGAACTAAGTGAGGGAGATAGAGAGGTACAAACTTCCAGTTGCAAAATAAATGAGTTATAGGCATGAAATGAGCAGCGTGGGGAAGGCAGTCAATAACTATGCAATATCTTTGTAAGGTGACATAAGTAACACTGGTGATCACTTTGAAATGGAAATAAATATTAAATCATTTGTTGTGTAACAGAAACTAACAGTGTTACAGGTCAATTATACTTCAAAAACAAAGTCATAAAAAGAGACCAAATTTGTGGTTGGTTACCATAAGTGGGGGGTGGGGATGGTGGTGGTGGGGGTGGGGAGGGGAGGGGAATTTGGAGGAAGACATCAACACGTACAAACCTCTTGTTATAAGATAAATAAGTACTAGAGATGTAATGTACAACATGATGAAGATAATTAACACTGCAGTATGTTATACATGAAAGTTGTTAAAACAGTAAATCCTAAGAGTTCTCATCACAAGGAGAAATACTTTTTTCTACTCCTTTAATTTTGTATCTGTATGAGATGATGACTGCTCAGTTAACATATTGTGATAATCATTTTATGATGTAAATCAAATCATTATGCTGTACACCTTCAACTTATACAGTACTTAGTGTTAATTATATCGCAATAAAGCTGAAAGAAAACATAAATTTAAAAAAAGATTATGCTCACAAGCATAAAGATGTGTGCTCAAGACTATTCACTGGTTTCTTATTTGCAACAGCAAAACATTAGAAAACAATCTAAACGTCTATCACAAGGATATAGATATACTGAGTAAACAGAGAAAGCTGTAGAATATGTACCTAATGACTCCATTTATAAAGTCACATATATGTGTGCACGTGTATACAATAACCTATAAACTAATTCATATTAAAAGTTATTATGATTTTGTAAATGTATATAAAGTGAACTGTAAAAATGTAGCCCAGACTATTGACAACAACTATGGGGACAGGGAATGTGTGTATCTGTGTATGATGGGGGCACATACAGAGATGGCAGTGAAGAATTTTCTTAAGAGTTTTATGTGTATCTTACTATTAAATCTTATATAAGAATATGTTCACATATTACTTGTGAAATTTTAAAGACAAAAGATGGGAAGGAAATAGACACATAGGAAAAACATATCACAAAGTTTTGGGAGGGGCATGACAGATCTCCTTGGCTAGCCCTTTCCCAACCCTTTCCCCACGCCCTCCATTGGGCCTTCTAAGACTATTTTAACATGCTCAACCCTGAAGTACTGGGAAGGGGTCTCTCCCACATCTCTTTTATTCAATGCCCCAGAGCATGTACACAACTGGCTCTATACCAACTTGACAAGCAAGGATATGATTATTCCAAATACTGTACGAATTGTGTGGTTACCTTTTTCCCACCTGAGGGAACAACTCCTTTCACTGACAACTGGCCAGATTTTAAACAGACAACAAGCTGTGTTCTGGGTGAAGCAATCTGGGTAGAGCTACTCTCCCAGGTACTGCACTATCCTGATCACAAGTATCTGGAGAATGGTCATGGCCTCACAAATGGCCAGTGTGGCTAGTTGGCAGCTACCATTTGGCCCAAACCAGAGGAACAGCTGAAAGCCAAGGCAATGAAAGATGAGGTGCTGTCCACTTCTCCCCATGCCCCAAGTGCTCTAGGCCTGGGCTATCAGCTGACTCACAGAAAGAGTACGCTCTGGAGAGCTGACCATTCATGTTCCTCTAAGTGCTCTCTTAGAGGACCGTTCAAGTCCTCTAAATGTTAGAGGACTTAGAGAACTTCGTACTCACTTATATGACCTGGATCATACACTGGTCACCAGCATTCAGCCACAGTCCCAGAAACCACAAAGCTGGATTCTGTTTTTCAGCACTCCTCTCTTGGGTGGAATAATGCCCACATCTGTGGAAAACTACTGCAAAGCTACATGTGTGACTAGAATGAAAGGCAAGGGACACTCTCCCATGACTGACATCAGAGGCTGCTTAGGTCTCTGATAGACACGTTCTAGAATGTTAGGTTGGATTTGAGCATTATAAAACTTATCTCTAACGTCACACAATGCAATTCAAAGAGTCTTAAAAAAGTTGAATTAAATACAAACCATTAAGAAAAAAAGCCCCTACATTCCAGCCAAAAGATGAGTCATGACTTTCACGGATATTACATGACTTTTCATTAGTGAAATTAAAAATAGCTACTGTAGACCATTTACTTATTAGACCATTTTATACTATAAAGTCTGAAATGTTGCTTTTTTGCTTTGGGGTTTAAATTAAGTGCTCTTTAAATAGTAAGTAAAAAAGTTTCTAAAACAGATAATCATCGATTATAAGCCCCGATGGACTTGACAACACATTCTTTCAGCTTTATCCACTAAGCACCTACTGCATCCTTTAGAGGCTATAAAGATGGAAGGTCGAATAAAAAATTGGGAAGAAAATAGGTTTCTACAACTTGAATATTTTGTTAGCACTGCTACACAGCAGTTGACCTTGGGTAAACCTCTTAACCTCAATGAGCCTTGGTTTTCTGATCTGTAAAACAGAGACAGTACCTCCTACTTCATAGAGCTACAGAAGCAAAACAGGATATCTCATATGTAGTGCATCTAATAGGGACCTGCATAAAGAAGGAATTTAATGGGTGGCAGTTACCATCTTAAGTGCCATCATCATTATTACTGTGCTCAAAGCTCAGAACACAATGGACAACCTTCTGGTATAATTAGATGCCTCAGAACTGCAAAAGAACCCATGCTTTGCCCCAGAAAGAGATGCTAATTATTTCTCAGTGCTTCATGGTAGTTTACTTTCACTGTACTCTCTGGCCAAACTGCTCATTTGTTCTGTGAATACAAGCAAGGTCAGAATCTATCCTATATTTCTTGTAAAAAAGGAGTGAATCCCTGCTTTTCCCTTATTACTGAGAGTCCAAGTCTAAATGATAAATAACTAGTCAACAGTAGGTGCTCTAACCCATCAATTATTTCATGATACTTATAAAAATGAAAGAGAACTAAATAAAAATAAAATATCATAAGGCAGCATTATATTAAGGCAAGTGATTGTTTTCAGAAACTTTTATTTCAGTCACACCCAGGTGGCGCTAGTGGTAAAGAATCCAAGTGCCAATGCAGAAGATACAGGAGACAAGGTTTCAATCCCTGGGTGGGGAAGATCCCCTGGAGAGGGAAATGGCATCCCATTCAGTATTCTTGCCACGGAAATCCCATTTTCAGAGGAGCCTGGTGGGCTACAGTCCATGGGGTCACAAAGAGTTGGATGTGACTAAGTGTGTGCATGTGCATGTGCACACACACACACATGTATGTGTTTACTGGGTAATTATGGAAAATATTTCTTACTGTGGGTTCCAGGCGAAAGTCTAAAAGCCACTGCCCTAGGTCACTGATCTGTGGTCACAAGCGCTGGCCTGCGCCACTCCCAAACTACTGCTGAAAGAAGCAGGTAGCTTCAGAAACACTGGCAAGCACTTTATTCTAGCACAGTGCTCTCTGCCCTGACTGATTCTGAACTTTGTGACTCCACTCCGAAGAACAGAACATCCTTTTAGCCACAACAGGAATGACAAGCTATTTTTAAGGACTATTGTGGGTGGACCATTCACTTGGCACTTGAGTTTTCTTTTCAGTCAATGCATGTCTTTCTTAACTAAAGCACACAAACTGAGAACAAGGGCTAGAGCCACCAAGTTGCAGCTGCAGCACCTTATTTATATAAGATGCTCCATCAACATCCTCTGAACACTCCTTTTTCCTCTGGCAGTCCCTCTTTAGGAATCAATGTGAGATCTGGCCAATTTAGGGACTTGAAAAGTTTTGGCTCTAAGCCTACTTGCGTGGTCAAGGTACTTAACCAACTCTGCCATTTCCTCTAATGCTATTCTAGAATAATAATCATCATTAGCTGCTGATAAGTTTCCAGTGAGGCATAGAGCATTACACCCCAAGGCTGTCTGTAAGTTCATAAGAGTTAGACTTTAATTGCAACTCAGTATCTTACTGTGATCTTGAGCAAATTACTCAAATTCTATTAAGCAAAATAAGCTCTCATTATCTGATAAAAACCAGTTATCCAATTTTCTTAGGGAGGTTAGGTGATACGTTCTTACATTTAATATCTACACTGCTCCTTAGGAAAAGCTGATTCATGAATTTCTAACTCCTTCTAAGCTGCTCTACTTGGTGAAACTCTGCTCCTCTGTAGAAAGGGTTAACATTTTAAATATTTGGTAAATGCATAACCATTATCTATCTTACCTGACTTTAATGTGTTGGGATCACAGTATGCAAAGCACCATTTCAAAACGTAAAACAATCTGAAGTGAGTTCCCTACACGTACTGATACATACTAGACAGACAAAATGAAACATTCATAGCTTATACAGAAAGACAATCACACTTTTGCTACCTGCTTATTCATTTCTGTGATGTTTATCCAGACTTTGTTCAACCCGAGCTCTCCAGATTCAATCTTCTCAAGCTGTTTTTGTTTGCTGAGTAGTTCTTCATTAAGTTTGGGAATTTCTTGGAATGAGCTTTTCTGATTAGATTCCACTAAAAGCAAACATAAGAACAATCATAAATAGCCATAAAGTTCCCTCATGGCTCCAAGATGAAAAAATGATCATACAGCAGGAAAGACAGATTAATGAAAGTTAATTATAGGAGGATAATGACAAATCTTATCTATCAACTCCACTTTTTACTTTCTTTTTACTTCTGTAAAGCTTTAACACTAAAGCTTCATTTAACTGGGGCTATCTCACTACTGGCAGTACAACTTTTTTAAAGCCAGGTGGCTAAAAACGATAACAAACATCAGCAGAAAGAGTTAGACTTGAATTGCAACTTGGTAACTTACTGTGATCTTGAGCAAATTACTAAAATTCTTTGAGCTCACTTTCTTCATGTGTAATGCAGTGATAATTCTAACCATCCTGTGAAAATATTTTAAGTGAAAGGAGGGCTGTAAAGCACTAAACACAGCTGGCCAGGCATACAATAAGTGATAAATAAATGTTAAGTATTGACCTGCTCAATTAAGAAACTTTCTGATTGGTCAACAAAGATTTATAAACTTTACTCCATTAATGCTCAAGGTGACAGCCTAAGTTCTATCTCTAAATGTTTATTTTTTCTACCTCAAATCAGTCAAATGCAAGATAGATTCTTACTACCTTTCAAGTGCTGCTTTGACAACTAAGATTTTAAATCTTTTTCATAAACAGCAAACAGTGCTTTCTTAAATCTTAAATCAACCCAAAAGCTCAAAGTGAAATAGAAGATAAAGAAAAATGTTAGGTGAATTTGGTCTTTCCTTTGAGAAACAGCATCTTCTGGATGGTTTAGAGATTCGCCAGCCTGATGGCAGAGGCCTGAAAGAGTGCTTTCTGAAACTTCAATCTTTAGAGTATTCTTTCCTTTTCATGGAAAATAAAATATTGATAATGGTTGGTCCTCCAGAATAAAACCTATGTCTTTCTTTTAAAGCCATAGACTGCTTGATTAGTTATTATGTGCTCTTTTTAAAATAAAAATCTGGCATCAAGGGACAGATATAATACTATTTACTAAAATCTTAAGTTCTCAAACTTTTTTTGTTTCTGTATGGTCGGTACTGAGAATACACTTGGCACACTTCAGGTACTCAGTAAGTATTAATGACTGAATGAATCTGGCCTTTGCTTACCTCTCAACCATATTTCTCATCACCTTAGCCACACTTCAGTCTACTTTCCAGCCAAGTTGATTTTCCTGGCACACCAACCTCTTTAAGCCTCAGTGACTGCACACACTAGCCTCTGCCTGGTTGACTTCTGCCCCTTCATTTCCTCCACCTTAGCCTAGTTGATTCCTTTCAAGATTCAGCAGAGATAGCTGGCCCCTACCTGAGGCCACTGTTACTTCTTTACAACTCCAAACTCTACTGAGCACTGAATATGCTGTGCTGTAATTATTTATCTGTTCTCCTCCACCAGGCTGAAGAGAGCTGCCGAGGACAGCGATAAGGTCTTGCTTGGTCATGTAATCCCAGGGACCAGCACAGTCCCAGGTACACAGAAGCATTTAAATGCTTATCCAGTGAAATGACTATAGGGTATAAAATAAAGTTAATATTATCTTAATTAAGTTAAACAAGGAAAACTCAACAAATAAATTCAACAACAAAAAATCCCCACAAAAACCAGGGGGTGGTGGTGGTGTCCTCACTGTAAACAAACCCACTATCTGAAAATTCAGGATTATTAAAAGAAATTAGACATTTTTATTCACTTTTCAAAAATATGTGAAGGAATTCTTTATAAATAGTAGCCTTGGCTAACTGCTTTTAATGTAACACTTGATTTACACCCAGTTTGCAGGATACATTCATCTCATGTAGTAGGAATATTTTACCAGTCAGTCTAAATTAACATAGCACTTAGCACCCAACTGAATTTTGAATTCAGTTAGGTTATAAAGAAAAGCTTATCCCACACATATCTGCCATTCTCACATGGTAAAACATCCCAAGGCTGGGGAAGTCTCTCTCTTTCCTGCAATCTATATGAATTAAGTAGAAGAGGAAGACAAACATGTAAGTAACTTGGATTAAAATTATTAACTAATAAGCATATAAATCTGACAAGCCCTGCAAATGGTTTAAATCCTGAGGACTGTGTGAGCCAAGAAGGGATTATATTCATTATCTGATTTGGGGATTTTTAGGAGAGAGAAGACAAGTAAGGGTACTCTGATTACATACATGGAATGAAATACAGTAAACAAACTTATGATTAAGTTTAACCATAAAAAAAACTTATGATTACAAATTCATGTTCTTTCAACTGGAAGCAACTCATTTAAAATTTAGTATAATCCTACTCATTCCAGTCCATTTTAGTTCGCTGATTCCTAGAATGTCGACATTCACTCTTGCCATCTCCTGTTTGACCACTTCCAATTTGCCTTGATTCACGGACTTAACATTCCAGGTTCCTATGCAATATTGCTCTTTACAGCATCGGACCTTGCTTCTATCACCAGTCCCATCCACAACTGGGTGTTGTTTTTGCTTTGGTTCTATTCCTTCATTCTTTCTGGAGTTATTTCTCCTCTGATCTCCAGTAGCGTATTGGGCACCTACCGACCTGGGGAGCTCCCCTTTCAGTATCCTATCATTTTGCCTTCTCATACTGTTCATAGGGTTCTCAAGGCAAGAATACTGAAGTGGTTTGCCATTCCCTTCTCCAGTGGACCACATTCTGTCAGAATTTAACTCAGATGACCATTATATTATATCTACTACTGTGGGCAGGAATCCCTTAGAAGAAATGGAGTAGCCATCATGGTCAACAAGAGAGTCCGAAATGCAGTACTTGGATGCAATCTCAAAAACGACAGAATGACCTCTGTTCGTTTCAAAGGCAAACCATTCAATATCACAGTAATCCAAGCCTATGCCCCAACCAGTAATGCTGAAGAAGCTGAAGTTGAACGGTTCTATGAAGACCTACAAGACCTTTTAGAACTAACACCCAAAACAGATGTCCTTTTCATTATAGGGGACTAGAATGCAAAACAGGAAGTCAAGAAACACCGGGAGTAATAGGCAAATTTGGTCTTGGAGTATAGAATGAAGGAGGGCAAAGGCTAACAAGAGTTTTGCCAAGAGAACGCACTGGTCATAGCAAAGACCCTCTTCCAACAACACAAGAGAAGACTCTACACATGGAAATCACCAGATGGTCAACACCGAAATCAGATTGATTATATTCTTTGCAGCCAAAGATGGAGAAGATCTATACAGTCAGCAAAAACAAGACCAGGAGCTGACTGTGGCTCAGATCATGAACTCCTTATTGCCAAATTTAGACTTAAACTGAAGAAAGTAGGGAAAACCACTAGACCATTCAGGTATGACCTAAATCAAATCCCTTACGACTATACAGTGGAAGTAGGAAATAGATTTAAGGAACTAGATCTAATAGACAGAGAACCTGATGAACTATGGACGGAGGTTTGTGACATTGTAGAGGAGACAGGGATCAAGACCATCCCCAAGGAAAAGAAATGCAAAAAGGGAAAATGGTTGTCTGAGGAGGCCTTACAAATAGCTGTGAAAAGAAGAGAAGCGAAAAGCAAAGGAGAAAAGGAAAGATACTCCCATTTGAATGCAGAGTTCCAAAGAATAGCCAGGAGAAATAAGAAAGCCTTCCTCAGCGATCAATGCAAAGAAATAGAGGAAAACAACAGAATGGGAAATACTAGAGATCTCTTCAAGAAAATTAGAGATATCAAGGGAACATCTCAGGCAAAGATGGGTTCGATAAAGGACCGAAATGGTATGGACCTAACAGAAGCAGAAGATATTAAGAAGAGGTGGCAAGAATACACAGAAGAACTGTACAAAAAAGATCTTCATGACCCAGATAATCACAATGGTGTGATCACTGACCTAGAGCCAGACATCCTGGAATGTGAAGTCAAGTGGGCCTTAGAAAGCATCACTACGAACAAAGCTAGTGGACGTGATGGAATTGCAGTTGAGCTATTTCAAATCCTGAAAGATGATGCTGTGAAAGTGCTGCACTCAAATTTGGAAAACTCAGCAGTGGCCACAGGACTGGAAAAGGTCCGTTTTCATTACAATCCCTAAGAAAGGCAATGCCAAAGAATGCTCAAACTACCGCACAATTGCACTCATCTCACATGCTAGTAAAGTAACGCTCAAAATTCCTCAAGCCAGGTTTCAGGAATATGTGAATGGAGAACTTCCAGATGTTCAAGCTAGTTTTAGAAAAGGCAGAGGAACCAGAGATCAAATTGCCAATATCCGCTGGATCATCGAAAAAGCAAGAGAGTTCCAGAAAAACATCTATTTCTGCTTTATTGATTACGCGAAAGTCTTCGACCGAGTGGATCACAATAAACTGTGGAAAATTCTGAAAGAGATGGGAATACCAGACCACCTGACCTGCCTCTTGAGAAACTTGTATGCAGGTCAGGAAGCAACAGTTAGAACTGGACATGGAACAAGACTGGTTCCAAATAGGAAAAGGAGTAGGTCAAGGCTATATATTGTCACCCTGCTTATTTAACTTATATGCAGAATACATCATGAGAAACACTGGGCTGGAAGATGCACAAGCTGGAATCAAGATTGCCAGGAGAAATAGCAGTAACCTCAGATATGCAGATGACACCACCCTTATGGCAGAGAGTGAAGAAGAACTAAAAAGCCTCTGGATGAAAGTGAAAGAGGAGAGTGAAAAACTTGGTGTAAAGCTTAACATTCAGAAAACTAAGATCATGGCATCTGGTCCCATCACCTCATGGGAAATAGATGGGGAGACAGTGGAAACAGTGTCAGACTTTATTTTTTTGGGCTCCAAAATCACTGCAAATGATGACTGCAGCCATGAAATTAAAAGACGCTTACTCCTTGGAAGGAAAGTTATGACCAACCTAGATAGCATATTAAAAAGCAGAGACATTACTTTGCCAACAAAGGTTCATCTGGTCAAGGCTATGGTTTTTCCATTGGTCATGTATGGATGTGAGAGTTGGACTGTGAAGAAAGCTGAGCATGAAAAATTGATGCTTTTGAACTGTGGTGTTGGAGAAGACTCTTGAGAGTCCCTTGGACTGCCAAGGAGATCCAACCAGTCCATCCCAAAGGAGATCAGTCCTGAGTGTTCACTGGAAGGACTGATGCTGAAGCTGAAACTCCAGTACTTTGGCCACCTCATGCGAAGAGTTGACTCATTGGAAAAGACCCTGATGCTAGGAGGGATTGGGGGCAGGAGGAGAAGGGTACAACAGAGGATGAGATGGCTGGATGGCATCAGCGACTCGATGAGCATGAGTTTGAGTAAACTCTGGGAGTTGGTGATGGACAGGGAGGCCTGGCGTGCTGTGATTCATGGGGTTGCAAAGAGTCGGACACGACTGAGCGACTGAACTGAACTGATGATAATCCTACTCAAAGGAACTTACTTAGCTCTTTTCCTGATCTTTAAGAAGAGGAAATGAAGATTTCTGGACATGCCCTTTAGATACAACACATAATGCCAATAGTAATATTTTATATTTGTGCGTCTTTACAGTTTACAAGATACTTTTATGTAATTACTCATCTTGTAATTGAGCCCCTACTATGTGCCCGGCCATGTACCTGGCACTACTGCATACAAAAGAACATGAAATTCTCAGTCTGGTGGGGAACGAGGCATTAGCCCAGAATTACTGTAGAGTGTGACGGATGTTATGACACAGGAATGCCCAGAGTGCTCTTGTAGCACAAAGTTATGTTTTATGGATGGGAAAATGTAGGCTCAGAAAGAATAAGTGACTTGTCTGTGTTTCATAGCTTGTAATGAGCAAGTCAGGATTCAACAGTCAAACTTTCTGATTCTAGAAATTTTGGAAAGGAAAGTGCTAGAAAGGACCAGCACTCTTTCTAGAACACTTCAGCTGTCACAGATGCTTACATCCTAGCACCCTTATTAGCATAAGACCATTTTTAAGTTCTGCATGAAATGACTGAACTGCTACTCTTCTGTATGACCAGAAACAGACATGTTTGACTTATCAATACTGTCCATCTCTTCCAAATTCTTTCCCCTCCATCTAGCTTTGAGCGATAGAGTGGAATGGCTGGGTATAGAATCTTCCTTAGAATAACTGTGGAGGTCTTCTGGAGTACCTGGTTCTAGAAAAAGAAAACTGAGTGAAGAGTTTCAAGGCCGGGCAGCACTTTTAGCTTAAGGATCAAATTACTCGTTGGCCCCAAAGAAAAAATACCTAGCCTACCTGCTCTGCTTTCTGCTCCAGATATCTCAGCAATCCTGTCTCCTTTCCTCACTAGTGTCTTGGAAGATAATGAAATAAATGACAAGGTGCTCTGAATTTTTAAAAAAGGTATTTAAGCCAGACCAGCAGGTAGTCTTATTTCCACTATCCTCTTGAAAAACAAGAAATAAAAATAAACTTATTGAAATATATTTAAAGTAGCAACATAATTCAAAGAAAAATTATATAAGTTTAACAAGATTAACGTCATTTAGCTAAGAGAATGGTTTTCCCAAAAAGCCTCTTGCCAAGTGGTCCAATAAGGTGCAGCCTATAGACTGACTTATAGAGCCCCAGGCCCCACGTCTGTTCTCTCAGGAAGTTCTGCTTTAGATAGTACAGGTGCTAGCATATCTATTGCAGCAAACCAAAGCCCGCTGAGCAGCTGGACTGACAATTCCAAATCTGCTTCATTCAGCTGGCTGACAAGTATAGTCAGGGTCCCAGGGGAATGCTGTTCAGTGGTAGAAAGCAGGTCTCACAGTCCAGGGCACAACCCCTGGCATCTCCTGAATTGGTATTAACAAGTGCTCAAAACATATTCGTGGCCTGATTGATTGTTAGGTCTATTGTATGTACACACTTCAAACATACCTTTCTAAACAAAGAAATTTCCTGAGAATGAAAAGCTCAGCTAAGGTACACATTACACTGGTGTCCTGAAAATACAGGCACAGAGCAGTCAGAGAAATAAATCCCTGGAAGGCAGAATTGAGCAATGTTTTGAAATGTATAAATAACTAACTGCTTTATGTGGCCCAAAGAGTCAGACGCGACTCAGTGACTGAACAACAACAACAAATATGTGACCCAAATAAGCTGCAGTACAAACGTAGGAGGCCCAACTAGTTACGAAGAGATATCGGCATAGACAGGTATCGTCAGTGGATAGTTAAAACACTGCTTCTCAGAACCTCCTTTCTAAGTTATTATTATTACTTACCAAGAAAAACACCATGTAATTCTGCTAAGTACAAAATTAAGGAGGGAAAATAACTAGAATACAAAGCTCATTCTTTCTTACACCGTACTCTGATCCCACCAATTTATAATACAGAAATCAGGATGACCCTGGCAGAGAATTGTGGTCTATCTAATCTCATTCCCTGAATCAGCTCCGAAAAAAACTAAAGTTAATACTTCAATATATTTTTTTTAAGCAACATCACTAGGAACCTCATTAATACACTAAGAATTAGCTGTCCCTAGGTTAGGTTTGGAACTTAACTAACTGCAGGCAACAAAGAGAAACTGGGGTGAAGGAAAGCTAGGATGTTGTGATCATCGAGGGCTTACTTCTAGGAAGTAAGGAAACAATTCTAATTCTAGTTCTAGGGATAGATTTCTTTATGACTTTGAGAAAGCCTAGGGGTCAGTTTCCTGGAATGTTAAAGCTGCTAAAGTTAGGGTACTTGTGATTTTGTGATTAACCTGAAACTGGCTCCTTAGTTTAGAAATTTTTTTTAAAAAAGCTAATTTTATTACTTATAATAAAATTCAGGTTGTAATTATAGCTATGGATTATTTGTTAGTTAAAACAAAGACTAAGTAAAGCATCTTTTGGGTATAACTTTCTTTCCTTTTTTTGTAATTTGCTGTTGTTTTAAGATTTTTATTAGCTTAGAAAATTAACCCTTGTAACCTAGAACCAAAGATCTCAGTGTTGCTAAAGAAAGATCTCTAGGCTAAAAAGGGTTGAAGATACCATGCAAGCACATCTCTCAAAAAGGATGTTGGATGCATAAAATACAACTTAACAATTTAGAATATATAAAACTCTTCAACTTCATAAGTTTCTTAAGAGACACTGACTCATGAGACAAATATTTATCTGTGACTCAGCACTCAGTAAGCACGCTGTACATGCTGGGTATTATTATTACTGCTCAGTACTATGCTTCCCTAGGCTTTTCTTAAGGAGGATATTGTCTGATAGACACGCCCACATTCTTTCTCAAATGGCCCTGTGAAGAGGAAGGAAATAGCCTAGTGTTGCTACAGCCACTTTACAGTTGGGAAACATGAAGTGGCAACAGGTGGAAATTAACCAAAGTTCTAGGATCCTGGATCTCAGCCCTTCCCTTTTGTGCTATAAATGCTGATTGCAATGTCATTATTTCAGATGCTATTTGTCCCAATGATGCATAAGCACTATGTTTTGTTTGTGCATTTAAAAATAAATGTTACTGCATTCAAGCCAACAGCTAAGAAAGTTTAAAAAATGCTGAAAGGAACAAGTAATTGCTTCATCAGAGTGAGCAAAAATCTTAACTCAGTGTGGTTCACTTTGTCCTAGAACCTGGCAGAGTCCAAAGTTATACTCTGAAAAGGGTGACCACTTACTTGTTCGGAACTTTTCCTTGAGGGAATCCAGATCCTCCTTCAGAGCGACTTGCATCCACACCAGACCAACGCAGGCCACGACACAGGCGGCAAGGATGACAAACGCACAGAGGGGATAACAGATCCTGCAGCATCGTAAATAGTCTCCCCTGATCATAAGAACAAATTCAACCAGGAGTATGAAAGGGATTATGAATACAGTTTGATTCCAAATAGCACATGTGTGGGCATGCAATTAGCATCTCTAATGAATAATCAACCCATTTACCAGGGAACATAGGGTAACACACTTAAATCTGAACAGCAGGTTGAATATGTCAAGATAATATGACCCAGGAAGAGTTCGTCTATCGGGGACAAACTTCTCATGAAATGGGGGAGTTTCTGAGTTACAGGGAGCACCTGTGAGCACTGCAGCTCACTGCCATCATCGTCAATTCAGGTCTTTGGAAACTGACTCAGGTTAGGGAAGTGTAAAGATCAGAGTTCTCTGCCATTTATTACTGTACTGTAATTCACTTATCTATCTAGTTCTCTCAAATATACAGTCATTCCAGAGGACCCTGTTTCACTTTATTGAACCTTTATAAACTTCTGAGTAAGCTTTATTGAAAACGGAATGAAAAAAACTATAACGGTAGGTTAAAGTGGACACCTCATACACTCCAGCTGGTTGGCTCGAAGGAAGGAAACATAGGAAGGAGTTAGATTTCACATCAAACGTCAACCAGCACTCAAGGTCTAAACTAAACCAACAGGGTAACTGTTCCAGTTAACTATTCCACTTCATCAGATCTTCAGCTGAAGCCCAGGACTGCCCTGAACTACTTCACCTGGCAAAGCTTATTAGAAACCAATCTCTTCCTTTAATATAAAAGGACAAAGACATTCCAAACAAACAAATTTCAAAGGATTTGATTTCTTTTAGCATCCTAAGCTTCAGTCTAGCTCTTGCTTTCACATCCTCAGCAGCATACTCTTTTAATGTGCTCCTTAAGAGAGTCCAAGGGCACTTGAAAGATTCCCTTCAGCCCCTTCCTACCCTAACCCACAATTTCCAATGTCTTTGTGTTTACTAGAGGAGGGCATGGCAATCCCCTCCAGTATTCTTCCCTGGAGAATCCTATGGACAGAGAAGCCTAGCAGGCTACAGTCCAGGAGTCACAAAGAGTCAGACACAACTGAGTGAGTAACACTTTCACTTGTGCTCACTACTGGAGGGTGTTACCATCTAAAAGTGGCTTGAAAAAAGCTGACTCTTCTTTCTGTCTCTCACACTCCATTTCTCTCAAGGTTCATAGTTTTTACAGAACGGCCTTCATCATATTCCCCCATTACCGGATTCAGACCCATCAACAGTGGGGAAAAAAAACCCCTAAACAAACAAATAAAAAACCCTGCAGTCTTAAGGTCCCTGTGTCTCCTGAATTTAACAACAAGGCCTTGTCTCTCAAATTTCTCTCTCCCCTTCTTAGCTTCTTTGCTACTCTCACCGGGCTCTTGGCACATTCCCCAAGTCCACACTTCTATCCTAGATTCAGAGCTCTTTGTACACTTACAGACAGATCTCTAACTTATACTTTATTCAGAACCTGAACTCATCTTCTCCCTAACATTCTTCCTCCCTTGTGCCTTACAGGAACTACACACTTTTTTCTTCCTAAGAACTGCCCTCTCCTTCCCTTTCATTCGCCCCCTTGGTAGTGCAAGGAGATGCCTTTTCCCATCCCAGCCTCAGCACTTCTTTTTACTCACTTGACAAAGCGAGAGCGATTTCCAGCTACACCAAATTCCTCTTCCTCCTCCGAGCTGGACTCCGAGTCTGAGTCAGGAGGCTCCGTTCGAAGCAGGCGGTGGCCTGAGCCTTTCTTGGGTTTCTTTCTCCGGCTGTCCCCAGCCAAGCCGATCAGTGCATTAAGCTCCTTGCGCTTTTTCATCTTCTTGTGTGGGGTAAGTGGAGCACCTACTCCTGAGCTGCCAGGTTCGTACCCGACGCCCAATTCTCTCCCTGCCTTGGAGCTGCCTTCCAGGGTGAGGAATCCTGGGCCAGAGCCCTCTGGTCACTCCCACCCAGGGGTGGGACTGACCAGATACACTACGGGCTGGAGACTGGACTCCAGAGGAAACTGAAACTCAGATGAATGGGGGAAGTCACATAAAGATGGACAGGGAGCTGGTGATCCAAATGGGTAAAGGCCTATGCATGGAGTGCCAGTTACTTAAGAGGGTACTGGGGAGGGGAGCAACTTTTTGTCTCTCAGGATAAAAAGTCAAGTCAAGAATGAGAGATTCTGAACCCTGGTCAGCAGACAGTATTTCTAAGGGTACTCCAAGAGCTGGAAAGGACACACAGATAGGTGTTTCGGACTTCCGGGTCAGGATGTCCAATGGAGAGAAAAACAAGAAAACTTGGTTCTTGAATGGGAAGAGACGGGGAGATGCAAACCAAGACGGGGGGAACGCGCTGGTCCCTCCCTAGATGGTAGCAGGAGGGGGCTCCCAGCCACTACAACCCTGACAGAGAAAATGCCCGAGTCCGAAAAGATCACCGTCCTCCGGCCTTCGTCCTGAGTTTGAAGGGAGTCAGAGGCCAAGGAAGACCCAGAGCCCAGTCTGGAGGATTCGGCCTGAGAGGAGCCAGTCCCGCGCCTGGGAAGCCCCCAGCCCTGATGTCTGGGCCTGGGGGCGCGGTGAGGAGGGGTGACCGCGGCTCAGCCCACCTGAAGCGCTCCCGCCCAGAGTTTGAGGTGTTCCGATACGGGCGACTCTCGGCAACTCACACACGCCGCCTCCACTCCAGCCGCGACTCTGGCCCCCGCTCCGGCTGCGGCCGCAGCTGCTCCCAAGTCGCTGGTGGCGGCGGCGGCTGTGGCCGCAGGCTCCAGACCCGGGCCATAGCTTCAGCCCCAGTTCACTTCCCCTTTGGCAGCGGCCACCGGCACGGCCTGCCAGTAAGGCGCACTCCCATTGGCCGCCTGTTCGATGACGTCACGCAAGGGAGTAAGGGAGGCGAGGCGTTAAAAGGCGCAGGCTCTGGCGCAGGCTAGTCCTTCTGCCCCATCGAGGAGGCCCCGCCCCCAGGAGGGTCCCAGGGGACCTGTCTCTCACCTGTTCTGGGCCCTGTGAGTTTTCCAGAGGAGCAGGGATGAGCCAGGCAAAGCACTCAGCTGGATGAACTTGCTTGGGAAGTTCATCACCGCACCGGCCCCCGGTTGTGACTAACCCAGTTTAGAGGTGCCAACCCTCTGACTCTCCAGCTGTTTATTAAAGGTTTAGGCGTGTTACAGGTTAATGACCCAGTTGAACACATTCATTCATTCACTGTAAATATTGATTACCACGTGTCAGAAACAGTTCTACCGCTGAGGATACAGCAATAAACAAAATAACCACTATCCCTGACTTCCAGCGTAGGGTTGCCTGATTTAGTGAATAAAAATACAGGACACTTAGGAAAGTTTAAATTTCAGATAAACAACGAATTTTTTTTTTTAATGTAAGTATATCTCATGTAACGTCTGGGACATCTTCATACTTAAAAGTTATTTTATTTGAAATTCAATTTTAACTGGACCTCCTGTGTTTTATCTGCCAACCCTGTTCCTGCAGTTTATACTTGAGTGGAAGGAGAACGATGACATGTTAAATGTCAGGAGGTGATAAATATTATGGGGAAAACTGAAACATGATAAAGGGACAGGGAGTGCCTCTGTGATAAGGGGAACTTTGGGTAAAGATTGGGGGGCAGTGAGGGAATGAGTTGTGCAATGACCCCAAGGAAGGAGTGATGTGGAAAATGTGGTGTGGCTGGACCTGAAGAGCCAGCTGCTGCTGCTGCTGCTAAGTCGCTTCAGTCGTGTCCGACTCTGTGTGATTCCACAGACGGCAGCCCACCAGGCTCCTCTGTCCCCAGGGTTTTCCAGGCAAGAACACTGGAGTGGGTTGCCATTTCCTTCTCCACTGAAGAGCCAGAGGAGAGCTATAAGAAATGAGGTCGGACAAGCATCAGGAGCATCTTGTAGGGCTTGAGGGACTACTGTGAGGACTTTGGGAAACCATTAGTGCTTTAAGCTCTGGCTTAGATTTTTAAAAAGATCACTCTAGTTACTGTGTGGAAAAGAGAATTAGGAGAGAAAAGGACAAGTAAATATGATGGCAATAGTGGAGATGGTGAGCATTCTGGATGCTTCCTGACCATTGAGCTAACAATATTTGCTGATGGTTTACAGAGCAGGTGTGTGCAAAACAAGGAGTCATAGATAACTCCAGAGTCGGGTTGGAACAGCTGGAACAAAGGAATTACTGTTTACTGAGATAGGAAAGAGCAGATTTGGGGCAAACTTGATAGGCCAATTCAATACTCAGATGGACTGTTTGATATATCTATTTGGTATTCTGGGCAGAGGTTGGGTCATGATATATAAATTTGAGAGTCTCCCATGTAGATAGTATTTAAAGCAAAGTGCTTTGAACTCCTCAGAAAAAAAGTCATTTAAAGTAATTTTTAAAATATAACTTTAAAATTTATTTATTTTTGGCTGTACTTTTTGTTGTGCAGGCTTTTCTCTAGTTGTGTCGAGCGGGGGCTGCTCTCTCATTGTGGTACACAGGCTTCTCCTTGCTGTGGCTTCTCTTGTTGCAGAGCACACGTGCCGGCTTCCGTAGTTGTGGCACGTGGACTTACTCATTGCAGCTCCCGGGCTCTGGAGCACAGGCTCAATGGTTGTAGCACAGGGGCTTAGTTGCTCCATGGCGTGTGAGATCTTCCTAGATCAGGGACTGAACCCATGTTTTCTGCACTGGCAGGCAGATTCTTTACCACTGAACCACCAGGAAGCCCTAAAGTAATTTTTATATCCTAAAATATAGCCCTAAAGTAATTTTTTATATATTGACACTTGTTACTGTGTCAGTCACACTGGCTTTGTCTAGGGATACCCACCCAAAGTCTGGGCCTGTCTCTTATTTATCTTTATGTGTCAAGTCCAGAGGTAGAAGATCCGATATATATGTGACACCTCTGTAGGTGGGCAGAGTTATGTAGAGGTATGAGTGGAGGTTTAGAATCAAGAGATCTGGGATGAAATCATTTAGAATAATTACTAGCTCTGTTAACATGGAAGCCATTTAAATCTGAGCTTCAGTTTCCCTCTCTGCAAAGTGAGGATTAGCATCTATTTCACAGGACAGACACACGAGAAGATACTTGTGAAAGTGCTTTTGATGCCTCCCAAACATAATGCAGTTATTTTGGTTTTTCATTTCCTTTTGTTTCTAGAGCTGTGCTACACAATATGGTAGTCAGTCACTAGCCACCTATGACAATTTAAATTTACATTTTACTTAATTAAAATTAAAAGCTTAAATTAGTTCCCCAGTCTCACTGGCCACTGTGCTCCATAACCGTATGTGGTTAGTGGCTACTGGGCAGCAACAGAACAGTACATTTCCATCATTATAGAAAGTTTTGTTGGACAGCTCTGCACTAGCATTTCCTTGAAGGTGTGGTACTGCACAGGAAAAGGTCTTGACTTCTAGAACCATTTCACAAACACGTGCTGTCGTCATGAGAAGCCCAGGCATAAGGAATGGGCCTGGGCATAAGAAGGGCCCAGGATAGCCCTTCTCATGGCCTTCCTGTGTTGTAGATGTTACATATACACCAAGGGAACCTGGGGCTGAGGAACCCAAGGGAGTGAGGTGGGGCCAAAGCTGTTTCACCCAGCTTCAATGACATCTGGTTAGCCAGGCCCTGCCCTCTCATGCAGTGGACCAGTCATGGGTGGGGAGGTTGGAGGAGGAAGGATCTGTGATTCAGTCCCTCTGTCCACCTTTTTGTCTTTTTTTTTTTTTTTTTTTTGGTCTATTGGTCTTTAGATAACGTGACTTTTGGTGTTGGGTATCCCATGAGATACTGAACCTTTGAAAACTGCTGGCCAGGTGTCTTTCTTCTCTCAGGAGCTCTTGGTACTCTCTAGCTTCCTCCCTCAAACCTGGGCCCTCAAGGCCAGAAATTAAGCCAACCCTCTCAAAGCAAGGGCTCCTGAATTGAGGAGCCACGTGCCTTCCCACACCAGGACCTCTAAAGGTTGTGACCCATCTGTTCATTTGGGGATGTTCACATTATGATTCTGTGTCTGTGCAGCCCTGTTACCCATTCAAAACTTGTCTGGAATGCACTAAGATCTTGGGTAAGTCACTTTCCCAAGTGACCCAGCTTATTTAACTTATACGCAGAGTACATCCTGAGAAATGCTAGGCTGGATGAAGTGCAAGCTGGAATCAAGATGGCTGGGAGAAATATCAATAACCTCAGATATACAGATGACACCACCCTTATGGCAGAAAGCGAAGAACTAAAGAGTTTCTTGATGAAAGTGAAAGAAGAGGGTGAAAAAGTTGGCTTAAAACTAAGCATTCAGAGAACTAAGATCATGGTATCTGGTCCCATCACTTCATGGCAAATATATGGGGAAACAGTGACAGACTTTTTTATCTGTGTGTGGGGGGGCTTCAAAATCACTGCAGATGGTGACTGCAGCCATGAAATTAAAAGACGCTTGCTCCTTGGAAGAAAAGTTATGAGCAACCTAGACAGCATATTAAAAAACAGAGACATTACTTTGCCAATAAAGGTCCATCTAGTCAAGGCTACAGTTTTTCCAGTAGTCATGTATGAACGTGAGAGTTGGACTATAAAGAAAGCTGAGCACAGAAGAATTGACGCTTTTGAACTGTGGTGTTGGAGAAGACTCTTGAGAGTCCCTTGGACTGCAAGGAGATCCAAGCACTCCATCCTAAAGGAAATCAGTCCTGAATATTCAGTGGAAGGACTGATGCTGAAGTTGAAACTCCAATCCTTTGGCCACCTGATGAAAACTGACACATTGGAAAAGACCCTGATGCTGGGAAAGATTGAAGGCGGGAGGAGAAGGGGACAACAGAGGATGAGATGGTTGGATGGCATCACCGACTCGATGGACATGAGTTTGAGTAAACTCGTTGGTGATGGACAGGGAGGCCTGGCGTGCTGCAGTCCATGGGGTTGCAAAGAGTCGGACATGACTGAGCAACTGAACTGAACTGAACTGAACTGGAGTCACTTTCCAGTTCTGGTATTCCAGCTTTTCCGTGTGTACAACAGGAATAAGCATATTCCCTGCCCAGCTTTCTGCTCCATGCTTTTTTGGGAAGGGAGCAACATCATAGTGTTTATATAGGGTGAAAGATATGGGCTGAATTCTCATACAACAATGTGCAGAGGGTAAGCAAAGTTGAGTTCCTAGAGCTCAAAATCCCATTCTGTGTGAGTGGTGAAGTCACATCTTGAGATGCTGCGCTACCTTAGAAGACCTACAGAATGCTTTCACTTGGGAAAACTGATGCAGAGAGTGGGGGCAAACTGGCTCAGGGCCAATGATCAGATGTGATCCAGGACTTCTGATTCCTATTTAAGATCTCATAATCCTCTCTTCTTCGGGATCTAAGTCCACATCTGAGCTCTGCCAGTTGGCAGCTGTGTGACCTTGGGCAAATGACTGAGCCTCTCCGAGTCTCCACTTTTGTGAAGTGGTGGTAATAACAGTACCTAGGACTAGCCATGTAATTTGTGGGGGTCAGTGCAAATGGAAATGCAAGATCCCTTGTTCAAAAATCAGGAAAAAAGCTTTTTTCCCCCTTTCTCTCATGATTTCTTACCTAGCTGGTCACGCTATTCATTGCTCATTAGTTAGCCCTGTGCTTCCTTGGGCATGGGGACACTCACAGGGGTGAGGGGTCCTTCCCCAGGCACCCCAACTCAGCCCTCCCTGTGTCTGTACTCAGGCCAAGGATGAGATGGTGCAGGGGAACAGGCTGTTGAGAACCTACCCTGGGGAAGGGGAGAGGCAGGTGGGGCGAGGCAGGACTACGTATGAACAGAGCCTCCAAGTCCCCAGTGTAGGCTCCTTTGCTCCATCAGACTTCACTTTCAAAACACAAATTCAAAAATAAAATGATTAAGAATTTCAAGATGGTAACCACAGAGCATTAAGCCCCAGCTGTAGGG